TATTCTCGGTTTAAATTCGTGAAACTAGAAGAAGATATGAGAAGCAAGTTGAACCGAGATTGAAGTTAAACTACGTTGGTAGAAACGGGGCCAAGTCGCAAGACAGTCACTGTGCGTTACTTTAAGACAAAGATTTAAAACACAAAACATGGCCTCAAGAGTTACAGACAGCCATTCCGCTCGTGCCCTTACTCCGCGCATTGTAGACGACGCGTCAAAGGCATCGAAGCGCGCTGCACAGTGTTTTCTTGAGAGCGACATCGACCGGAACACACTATCGCGAACCGACACATGCCGCAGGGGCTTCTTCTCCGAGGGGCGTTATAAATAATTCCAGGCGAGCAGTGGCGTCGCATAACGCCGTGGAATCGACGTTATCTGCGTCGTCGTTGACGGCTATGGCGTCATTCATCTCGCGCGCGCGTAACATCCTCCGCCGCTCCAGGAAATCTGCCCCCGCCGATTCGAGGCGTTGTCGTCATTGTTGTAGATGAGTGATTTATTAACCGTGACGTTACGCTAGACTTCAATCCGAGGGGCAAAAAACATGTGTCCGCGAGGAAATGACGCACGATTTCTCTCGGGGACTTCGGAACGTCTCCCCCTCCCCTCCTCCCCTCCCCCGGCTGCTCCCGATATTAAAAATCTTGGCAATTAAGTCAGCAGGACTTTCGAAACGTCTCTTTCGTAAAGGTCACCGCGCGCGTATTGGACAATTTATGTGCCGACCGTAAATTGTCGACGCGATGCGCAAAGTCATCGTCCACGAGGCTGCTCATTTGTTTATTGAAAGTCGCCGGACTTCAGTCGACAGCTCGGATCTCTCTATACGAGATTAGCCATTCTCCGAGAATAGCGAACGGAAAAGAATTAGACCGAAGTGCATTTGTACGTATGCATGCACGTATACGGCGAATCACGGGCACTAATATAATCCAGTTATTTATAGACCGCAGCTTCATATTTGCGGCGTGCAGTTCTATTTTCGCGGTAGCGTTGCCTACTAATCCCGCGGCTCGAGCGCGGGGATCTCGGTTTATCCTCGGCTGATCCGTTCCTTTTCACCCGAAGTCCCCCCCCCAATCGCGTTTCTTCACGCGCTCGCACCTCCGTGTGGGGAAAAAAAACTCGAGAAAACGCGCGGTTTTCACCGCGTATTACTTTTCTCCCCCCCCGTCTCGGTCTCTTCCTCGCCCCGGAGTAATCCGCGAAACCTTTGCGAGCGATCGAGCGTGATCTCCGGTTTCACGAGCGATAAATTCCGGAGTGATCTCCAAAAATTGCCTCGCGCGAAGCAAATTTCATTTTCTCGCTCCGAGACCCGCGCTCGTCCAAGTCCTGGCGCCGCGACTCGTGAGAAGTTGCGTTACCTTCGCGATTTAACTCACTGAGTCACCGTCATCAGATCCCCGGCTTGACGTCGTTCAAATAAACGTACGCGACGGCTTAGTTTCCGAAATTACCATCGAGTACCGGAGGAGCAGCGGCTCCCCCAAGCCTTTCCGGGCCGGCCCCTCCAAGTAATTCCTTGTTTCGGGTAAAGATTATTGTCCCTACAAAAGTAATGATATCACCAAATTGCGCCAACTAAAATGGATATTTGTACAAACTGGATACTTAATGATTTTTTATACTGAAATGTTATGTCCAAGCAATCGAGCATAAGATTTTACTGAGAAAGAAATGAAGGAGACAATAATATTAATGAGACAAATTTTTAATGCTTATTCAATTTTTTGGACATCCACAAAGAACTATTTAGACACTAACGTCCTGTCACGGCTCTTTAGTCTTTATTCCTTTGTGAATAAATGAAACGTTTCCGCGCAAAAAACTAAATCTCTCCCGGTGTGATTTGCGCGCGCATTATATTACACGGGTCATTACGGAGTCTCGCCGATAAGCCCCGCAAGGCCCGGCCTCGATTTTCGCGAGGTAGTCCGCAATTCTGGGGAAGTTCCGCGAGTACGTGGGCGGTGCTCTTCGTCGTATCGCGCGGAATGTATATTGCGCGCGATAAACTTTTATCGGCGCGGCTTTCGCGATTCGGCATTGTCCCCGCCGCGGCGTTATAGAGGTAGGCTTCGGCCTCGGGCCGCTTAATCCACTTCCGTTCGATTGCCGATTATTGAAGCGATCGCGGTTCTCGCGCGCCAGCCCCGGCCGTATAATAGGCGTATATCGATTATTGGCGTCCCGAGGAATGTCGAGAATTCGTGCGCGATGGCGCGGGATGACTGGGTTTTTATCGCCGATTACGCTATCGCGGCTAACGAGAGTCCGACACGCAGGACACGCGCAACGCAGTGCCGTTTCGCGGGGTCCCCCGGGAGGTTAATAGATGCAAATGCAAATCGATCGGCTGTGCGCGCGGCGCGTAGCGGTGCTAGGTGGCGACGACGCGAGTTATCGATTCGGCGCCGTGTGTGTACTTTTTAATATGACCCGCGACGAAACGCGAATCGATAGCGTGATATTTGCAAGTACAATACCGGGGTCTGCGAGAGACTTGGGCTTCTCGTGATTGATTCCTTCTGGAGTCGCCGAAAGAACTGCCTGCCGCGGCTACACGGGGAGAATTTTCTCCTAAAGCCTATCCCGAGGCGCAAACCGCTCTGAGGGCATTGTGGTGTACAGATTTGCGGCATTACTGGGCATTACTAGGTATTACCAGGCATTTTTGGGGCATTACGCCTTGCTGGGGCATTATAAAGATAAAAGAAGATAAAAGAAGATAACAAGATTAAGTAATGCCCACTGCGCATTGGTGTACACGCACCGGCATAAATGCTGTCCCTATCCTTGTGAGGTGCACGCACACAACTAGAGTCCCTGTAGTTGTGTGCGTGCATCTCACAAGGATAGGGACAGCATTTATGCCGGTGCGTGTACAAGACTTTGGTCAGCGGTTCCCCTCGGTTTATCCTGAAAATCATGTGATCGTGGGACAACACGGCATTATAAAGAACTTTATGAGGGTTTTTTTGAAATTTTACCATGCATTCTAGTAAAATGTATAATGAAATTTCGGAAATACAGTCTATCATGCGAGAGATTATATAGCTTTTACTCACGGATATGTGCAGTGACGTATTAGTAGAGCAAAGGGATGGTACGTACGCATATCTATGCAACGATACTTATGAATATTCCGCAAGCTTATTGCAAAGCGTCGGACAGCCTGGCCGACCATGACCGCACAGAGAAATATCTCGGCCGAGGTCTTCATTTTGTAATTACGGCGAGCGCAGATAGCGGGCTGCGACGTTATTTATCCACAATCATGCATCATTGTTGAACGGACACCTCGTCGGCGCCGTTCATTATCGCCCTCGTCGGGGAAGTTGCATCGCGTTCGCAGCCGCACGTGCCGGCGAGAAAATCCCCGGTCTTTCTCTACCTGTTCGCACGCTCTCGCGATCGTTAATTTCGCGATAATCCACGATTATTACGACTTGAGCAACCTCAGAAAGGGTTTCTGTTACCGAGACAAAAAGTATTCTTGGCGCATTTATATTTCTCGCAACCTCATTTAGTATAAAAGTAAGACAATACCAAAATAAAATCAATAATTCTTATAGTCTCCTCAATCGAATTAAAAAAAGATTGACTTACTATATTGAGACAAGAGTAACTTGTCGTTGTTCTTGCGTTTAGGAATAAATTTTTCCCCCATCTTACATTGCACCAAGTCGGCACGACGATATTCGACAAAAGACGATACATACTACGATTTTATTCTTATTTTATTCTTTTCTCCGATAAGATCTTAGAAGTGTTCAGAACGTTGAACGTAATTTAATATGTCCATCGACACTCCCGTCAATTCGTTGCACCGGACACGCCTGCGATTGTCCAATCTTCTGGGTTTGCGCCGAGAAACCCGAGAAACGCGGCGCGCCGTAAGGTGCCGGTTTAAATTGTGAGGCACATTTACTTTGTATCGCGTAAAACACTTCGCTTTCCGGACACGAATCGGTCGCGACGTCGGTAAAGCGAACGACAGGCGAATTCGAGTCGCTTATTCGCCTTTCGCCTCGCGACGAAAATCACAAAGTGCCTCATCAATATCGCGGGCGCAGGTGACGTGCGGGCGGCCTGTCGGTATGCTTTCTCGTGGAAAGCAAGAGCGTTTCGTGCCAAGGTGAGATCGCGATGAGATCCGCTGCCGCGATACGCCCTTCGCTCGCTGTCATTGCGTCCGATCGCTTACGGCGCCTCTGATACATCACCTAAGCCTAATCGCGGGTAAATCTCTAATACACGGACATTACGCGATAATCTCTACGCGGCCCCGTTGTTTAAACCCAAGTCGCGGAATAGTCCGACGTGCAAAATTGAAGGCTTATCCGCACCGGATTAAAGCGATAAGCGATAGGCGGACACGCGGGAGGAACCTCGTCCCGCCGTTATTTTCGCGCGGAAAACGGCCGGAAGTGACTCCGCGGTGCAGCGACGTCGCAAGGAACTTTTACGACCACCAGTTCGTAATTGGGCGCCTTCAAGTACGGTGAAAGGCGTACACGCGAAATGACGATGATTAAACCTTGGCCTTTGTGCGTGGTATAACGCCGATTCCAATGAAATCTCCCCGGCGGCGATTTGCTGCGAAATTTTTTGTTTACGCGTAACCGTGTCCGGTCGTATCGCATCCGCTGCGTGCGTCAATGTTTGAAGATCTCTTATCGACGTTGTCGCATTCCGGGATTTCCCGCGGGTCATTCGCTTGTCGATGTTTTCGCGCACGCAGCGACGTCGAAAAATCTTGAAAATTACTTCCGAGAGAGAGAGGGGGGGGGGGATCCGAGAATTCTCACTTTACTCTCGAAGCTCGCACTTGTTCTCTGTTTTAACAGTGAAATTGATTCTGTCGCAGCTAAGGAGTTATTGATACATTGATCTTCTCAATTCGAGAAAGATTTGATACTGCGATATTTAATTTAACTGTATTTGATTAAAAAAAAAAGTTTATTACATTTTTCTGTCCTTTCATGTTTCAGTATCCATTTACCAGTGCAACATGTCGGTCACTTCCGTGCAACCGGCCGCCACCGAGAGCCTCTCCCGCCACGGGTGAGTAAAATCACCGGTCCGATCCTTCCACGGACATCAGATCGAGCCGCGCCGCGGACAGTCGCGACTTGTAATTGCAAATATCCGAGACGCGTTCGTTTTCCTTGCCGCGGAATGCGACGGCACCAGGGCGGGTTTTCCTGCCGCGAGAGACTATAAGCGCGCGGCATCGATATGAATTTCAGATGGTCTGATTCCCTCTTCTGTCGCGCCTGAGGGCCTGAGCAGAATGGCTGTCTTGTACTCTTAAGACACAAGACAGTTATTGTACGTTACTTTAAGTGAACGACGAGGGGTAAACCGCTGGCCGAAATCATGTACACTAATGCATCTGAAAAGATAAAACGAGATAAAACAAGACAAAGTAATGTCCTTATAGTGAGGCCAAATAACATGCACTGATGCCCGAACACCACAATGCCCTCAGCGGTTTACTCCTCGGTCAAAGACTTGAAGCATTGTCTCGAGAGTACAAGACAGCCATTCTGCTCGGGCCCTAACTTTTTATCGACGTGCAGCGAACTCTATGCTATAGGAGTATAGGAAATACCTGCTACCGTGTCAAGAAAGTGGACAGAAACGTCCCGTCCGCATCTCTTTCTAGTAATTCAGATTGATCGACGATTATTCTATTACTAGAAAGAGACGGAAATGGGATCATTTGTCTGTCTCACTCTGTCCGCCTTCTTCAAGAGGGCAGTAGCCTGGTCTCCCAACGTAGCGTACACTGATAGAAAAATATATAGTAATGTTTGCAACTACAATTGCATAGTAAAATAATTATAGTCGGGAATATCATTTTTATAGTAATTATTACTATAATATTAGTAACAGCAACCATATAGCTACAGTGATGCCAATTATTTTAAAAAAATTACTATAAAATATAGACTTTCAACTATTATTCTGTTAAAATATCCAGGTAATGAATAGTAAATTATAAATTTATAAATACAGTTATAAATACAGATAAGTTTACACATTCGTATAATATTACTTCCAATGCAAATACGATTATTACTATTACATATAGTTATTCGAAATTTTACTTGTGGTTGTTGCTGCAATATTTATAGTACACCTTGCCAAATTAAAAGCGCGTTTTTGGCTTATGACAACCATATCGTAAGTTGCATGGACCAGTATTAACCATAACTTACGTAGTTGGAAGAATTATAAAAATGTGGTTGGCTCCTGAAATGACTATAAATTATAGTGAGATCGTAGTAACTGCAACCATTTTTTTTCTGTCAGTGTAGAGTTCACTGTCGACGTGAAATGTGGTCTTCGGTTAGAAAAATGGAGCGCACATACGGCGTTTCGTGCTGAACAGGCGGCTAGAGCGGGGGCTCATTATCTTGCGAAATTTATCTTGCACGTGGAAGTGTATGGAAATGTCGCTTAATGAGCGACAAACGATAAACATCTTGTCCGCAGAATTGAGACCCGGGAGGCTTCGTCCGTTGCATAACCGGTTCCGACAGTTAATTTCGTCGCGGCTAATTAGCGCTAGATACAAGCTAGGTGCAATCTTAAACGCGGGGGCCGCCATCGGTGCGTCGCCACGTGTGTCGGCCGATCTTGTTTTCCGTTTGCCATCGAGTCGCGCGGCGCTACAATAAACTCCGCTTCCTACGCGTTGCGTGCGCCGGAAGTGCCCGGTCGGGGGCGCATTGAAAATCACCGCCGCGCCCGCGGAGAATCGAAATGGGATCGCGATTAATTCGGAGCGCTGAATTGAACGGGAATGAACGGAGGCGTAGTTAATTCAATCACTTGGCAAATCTCCCACGTCCGATATCGGAAAATTTCAAGCCTTCGTGCCGAATCGCAATAAATTACCGGTCAATTAAGTCGATTAAATCAAACGGCGCAGTCGTTTCAGCCCGCAATTTCCCGTGCACCCCGGGGACAATCGTAATATTCCACCAATTATTTCTCATAATGTCCTCGCGACGCAAATATTGTATTACGGCAAAACTCGCAATAGTCCTCGGTCTTCTGCCGACACACCAACGGCGATGCTTTTATTAAGGGGGGAGCCTACTTTAGAAGGCCGAAAATAACGTGTCTTTTAAGAATTTTTTTTCTAAAGGAACAATAATGTTTAGGTTTGTAACACGTTTAGGATGTTTTAATACAACATTTGAACTACAGATACAAATTTCTTCAATAAAAAAAGTTACATTTTCACTAAGTAATTTAATGTTAACTTTCGTGCGTCGCCATCGGAGTTCTCTAATTTTGTGTACACGATTAAGAAAAAACTATTTGACCTATCAACTTCGTTCAAAGTTTTTTAGTTAGATAATAGTCAACCATCCTCGGTAAACCAAAAAAAATAATAAAAAGTCACTTTGAACTATTTATTTTTTGCATAAACGATATTGCCTCGAGAAAATCGTTACTTTTTCTTCAAAGTCGTACAGAATTTGAAGTTTTCTACTTAAAAAAATTTTTTGTGGTTTACGTAGGGTAAAATTATATGACAATTAAATATATACTTGGTTTTTTTTATTTAGACAAGAATTGAGGACGCTAGGCTGTACACAGTGGCGCAACTCCGATGGCGACGCACGAAAGTTAACATTAAATTACTTAGTGAAAATGTAATTTTTTTTTATTGAAGAAATTTGTATCTGTAGTTCAAATGTTGTATTAAAACATCCTAAACGTGTTACAAACCTAAACATTATTGTTCCTTTAGAAAAAAATTCTTAAAAGACACATTATTTTCGGCCTTCTAAAGTAGGCTCCCCCCTTAAAAAGAGAAAACGTGCGAGAGAAGATTCGGGCCAATTAATTAAAGAGTATAATTCGCACGGCGCAGAAGCTTTCGCGATTTGCGGACATTCGGGAAAACCTTCGTTCCCCGGCCTTTGTTCCTCCGTGCCTGCCGACCGCGTGGCCGTGGCGTGGCACGAGCTGCGCCTCGGGCTCATTACGCGTGCGTTCACGTCGCCGTCACGTGAAAGAAGCGCGTTTCTTTCCTGCCTGATTACCATACGCGCACGTTCGTCGGAGCTAATCGCGGGGCCCGGCGACCGGGACTCTTTCCCTCCGGCCGGCAGGTTCAAGGTTTGCACGGCGTACCTTCGTCCCGTCGAGTCGTACCGCGCCCCGGAGGTCGCGGAGCGCGTCAGCGCGTGTCTCGCGAATATTCAAATTCGCCGGCATTCCGACCCCTCGCCCCGCGTGCCCCTCTCCGCGACGGGGGGTACAGTGTCCCCGAGAGAGAGATTGAGGTCGGCGTTACGTAACGGAGACTCGGCGAAAGATCGAGTTGTAAGTGTAATTAGCATTAAGAGCCTCTCCAGGCGAATTAAGACCGATTTCTTTTAGAAGCAGAAGTAGAACAATAACGTTTTAATAACGAAACAGCCGCGTCGGGCTCGACTCTCCTCGCGCTGCTGCATGCGTATGCATGTCTGAAATCGAGGCGACAAAGAGTCGTTGAAATTTATTTCATGAATTCAAATGAAAGTGTACAGGGCGGGGCGATTTTTGATTCGATTGAAGAAAAGTTGCGATACAAATTTTCAAGACAAAAAGCCGAGGGGGGAAACCGCTAAGGGCATTGTGGTGCGCAGATTTGCGGCATTACTAGGCATTTTTGGGCATTAGTTTGGGCATTGGGCCTTGTTGAAGCATTAGAAAGAAAAAATAAGATAAAACGAGATAAATAAGATAAAGTAATGCCCTCTGGGTATTAGTGGGCATTGGTGTTCAAGATTTTGATCAGCGGTTTCCCCCTCGCTAATTCATAAGTAAAGTACTTTCGTGCAAAGCTTATTTTGGATGTACCATCAGTTTCGAGGGGAAAACCGCTGAGATTTGCGGCATTACTGGGCATTTTTGGACATTAGTTTGGGCATTAGGTCTTGTTGGAGCACTACAAAGATAAAATAAGATAAGATAAAGTAACGCCCACTGGGCATTAGTGGGCATTGGTGTACAAGATTTTGGTCAGCGGTTTCCCTCTCGCAAGAAGCCTTGAAAATCCTCGTCCCGCTCAAGAATATTTTACCCGATTTTTTCTTGAACTGAATCAAATCCGCTCTAGAGATTATTTTGTGGAATAAACTATAGGAGAGAAATTTACGACGGAGTAACGGGTGCGACGGTTTTTTCGCAACAGTGAAACCAGTAGGCGAGGAAGCCTGAGAGGAACTGGCGGAATTCCGCGAGTTTAATGAACACTACTTGTTCGCCAGCGCGTAAAATTGGCAGTCGCCTTATCTACATGAGTTGTCGTTTCGGTTTGCAGGAGCAACGTCTCGTTATCCCGCCACAGCCTGTGCGGCAGCGTGGACGACGGTCTGCAGGGCTCGCATCCGCAGTACCAGGATACGATCCTCACGATCGAGGAGCTGCGCGCTCAGCTCAACTCCTGCTTTACGTAAGTGCAATTTTTGCGCCTTATCGAATGGGATACTCGGCGGACCGTGGGAGTTGATCCGCGGGATTACGCAACCGCGTTATCGAGTGACGTGTCCGGACAATAGAATCCGGTACGATCTGGAGCCACGGCGACTTAGACGCGCTTAATTCTCCTCTCGCCAATTCGGTAGGGAAATGTCCCTCTTAACCCTTCGGTGATCCCGCTGTTCCTTTCGTGTAACGCGAGTCGACGCGCTGGGTCTTGAGAGACATCAATATCAAAAGATCAATTTCTATTGTTCACGTCGAGAATGGTAACCCTTTTTAAAAACAAGAAGGTGAAAAAAAACTCATTATACACTGAGAGAATTCTTTCTTGAAGTTTATCCTGAAAATTATGTGATCGTGGGAGAACGTGGCATTTTGATGAACTTTGTGAGAGTTTTTGTGAAATTTTGCCATACACTTTACTAGTAGAGATTGTTACGCTCGCGCGAAAGGTCGGCGAGAGGCGAAATCGACTCGTTGAAATTTTGATACAAACGCATCGTCAAGCGCGCGAATATGCACGGTTATCGGCGTGGAATGCAAGAAACGAGGCTAGTAGGTATGCCCAGTGTTTATCTGGTGACGGTTGACGCGATTATTCCGGTAAATCGATGCCCTACATCGCGGGGCGCGCGCAGCCTCGATGTGCAACGTACGGTATTTCCGTGAAAGATTCACACGCGGTCCGCCTAACACGTATCTCTGATTGGCCAAAAACACAAAGGGGCACTTTTTCGTCCGGCAGAAAATGCCCGTCTCTCCCCGGAACCTTCGTTCAGTAGGATACGTCCCATACAGCACCAAAGCTCTCAGAAACATTTCGGAAACGTTGCAACATTGCAAATTGCAATGTAATATTGCACAGACGGTTCAGAGACGTTCAATTGTAATATTTCGCCGACAATGTTTCAGACGGTATATTTCATCAGATTGCCAGTGTTTCATTGTTGCTTCAAGCTCGCAGCAGCGTTGCTGAAACATTTCGCAACCTCCATGCAATGTTACAATGTTGCAGTGAAAGGTGTGTGCGATGTTTCTGCAATCTTTCGGTGCGGTATGGGGTGTCCACCGATTAATCTACAATTTTGCGCAATCCTCTCACTCGTCGTAAATCCTGTTACTTCGCCGGTACTTGTCATTCGTTTGAACCGCGTAATTTCGCTTTGACCGTATCGCGCGGTATCGGCGCGCGAGTCTTGCGTAAACCGAACGAGCCGATATCGAATTTGTTAAACCGGACGACCTTGCTTCCTCGCAGGAGACCGCGACGGTAGCTTTGCGATGCAGACCGCCGCGCCGGGTACGTTCTCCAGCGAGCGAATCGGCCTTGCTCTGTGTCGCGCGGCTTCCGGCGTCCACGCCTCTGTTATTAGCATAATCGCGCGTGGTGTGTCTCGCGCGACGACTCATTATCGTTATCTTGTTCTCTGCGTAGATGCGGGGTGTCGTGGAGCGAGGAGCACGTCTCCCTGGACTGCAGCGAGTGCGGGGGCTACTCCCTGCAACGGCCGTGCCCGCTCTGTGACGGCCGTTGCCACACCGTGTGGAAGCGCGACCTCACCATGGTAAATATCCCCGAGATCCTCCGGGAAGAAGTCTTCATCATTAATTTTCTCTCTTTAATCTTTTTTGGTATCAAATTGTGTGATAATTGAGAGCCGTTGGATATTATAATATTAACTCGACTGATTTCGTAGTAATTTTGATTTTGGCATTTTTTTCTCGCTAAAATCGCGTGCAACTTTTTCCAATTTTGAGCAAAGACTGGAAAGCAAGTCCGCAAGTTAATTCACGTTTGTTTGTTTTTTTCATTGCAGTCCCATGCCAGTGGTAAGGCGAGATGGATCGGTGAGTGCGGGTTGAGCTGCGGACCCTCCCTGGAGGAATCGCTGGTGCCCGCGTTGGAGAAGCTGCGGGCCACCTCTTGAATGGCATCGGCCCGAGCACCGCCAACCATGCACAAGACTTAATCCATCACCATCCATCTAGCGTCACTCACCACCATCGCGTGCGAGACCCAAGAGAGCAGGAGAGAGAGAGAGAGAGAGAGAGAGAGAGAGAGAACGAGCGAGAGAAAGAGAGAAAAGAAACGTATGAATGTGAACCGTGGATGATATGCATTATGTTCCTGAGAAGGGCGGCCGACTAGGGAAAGGAGGACCTGTTTTTCGGGCCCTTCCTCGTGGCTTATTCCCCGAAGATACAAAGCCGTACCCAGCTGGTCCCTCGACACCAGAGACCACCGTCGTCGTCATTATCGTCTTTTAGACGAAAGTACAAAGCTACGCGATCGACGTTCGAACTCTACAAAGAATTCCTACGTTATACCGAATGATTAACTACATTGTAGCAAACTAGCTTGAATACTGTACCGAGAACGAATACCATTTTACTTTCAAAAGATTGTGCGCCGATTCATTGTGCCGTGAAGGTTCATTTCTATTTCTTTTTTAACTGTTTCTGGTCGGAATTATACTAACAAATTTTATTAGGAAACAGAATTCCGTGTGTTTTGTACAACTTCTTGTCATTGGTATGAAATTATTGGTTCGAAAAAAGCTTCTTTACAAAATGGACTTTGCAAAGAGGAGAAATAGATAATTTGTCAGAGAGGAATCTTTCTGTTCGAGAATATGTTGTGTATCCACGAAGCAGACTTGACTGTTCTTTGAAACTTTTAGATTGCAGATCTTAAATTTAGTGTAGAAATGTATGATGAAGCGTGTAAGAAAAACAGAAGTGAATTTTTTGTAACATGCTCTGACAATTTTCCTTTCAATTTATTCAGTCTTATAAACATTTTTTCCAGTTTGTGTATAAAATTTGAGAGGTGAAACTTCACGCGAAAAAAATAAGAGAGTATAATCTCAGAGTTTATGTTTTAGTCACGAACGCAGCATTTTTCTTTTAGACTTGATTAGCATTATACGAATTATATTTTGGAATTACAACAACCAATGTCGTCGCGCAAAGTATCTTTGGTAGTCGTGGTTCTGAAATAGTTTTATTTAGTTTGGCCATTGTAATAATTTGTCTTAAATTATTTGCCACTCGTATACTTATGACAGAATTAAATCTTTCGATGCAATTTCCGCCTCGAGTACCTGAATCGGTTAGTTTAGAAAACGGCATAAGCCCATATTTTTCCCAAATTAAAACAGCCAAAAGAGTTTTTTACAAAAACGTTCTAAAGATTTTTACCTTGTGCGTGTAAATAATATAATGTCTTTATCGCATTATTAATTGTCATTTAAAGGCGATCTTTATACGTATTTTACAAACAACGCTACATATATGTTACGAAATAATTTTAATTTCTAGACTCAAAGCATTAAAAAAAATAACCGATTCAATTGCGGAAAATTCAATTTCTTATCGATTATTACGAGTGTTTTCGATTTTTGTATCAACCAAAATTGCCATAGCATTTGTTCGTAGCACAAGATTCGCGCGACATAGCAAACGTCGCGACTTCGGAGAACGTTTAATGACGACAGCTTAAATCTTCGGTCGTTCCTACAACAATGTGAGAGAAGCCCGATCTTCACTTTACTTTTTTTACGTAACGAAAGTTACACCTCGGCCTCTCTGTCGCGTGAAGGAGCGCGAGTTTGCATTACGCGAATCCTAGGATAATTTATTAGGCGACAATTTAATCGATCGAGCGATCTGAATGCGAGAAGCCTGTTTTTCGGGTCTTTCACACGAGAGCACGACGTATCGATTTCGTAGGTAAATAATTATTCGGTATCCCTCGCTTTTAATTGTCACAACTGTATCATCGGCGAAATAATTCCGAGCTTGCGACTGTATACGATAAAAATTTAGTCAAAGTTTTGCCTCTCTAGCGAGGATTTAGTGTTAACGTGACGTGATTCAATCGTCATAGTTCTAAGAATCGATAGGCAATCGGTGTGTTACGAATTCGAGAGAAAGATTATTTCCACGAAAGCACAATTAGAAAGTTTATCGTTCGAAGCGTTATTGTACATCAAAATTGGTACGGCGAGAAGAAAACTGAAAAGGGTACAACACAGTTGTACCGCGATGGAAAATTACACGAATCTCCCTGGGTCTATGAGAGTTTAAAGAGTCGGTTGTATTTATAGCGTTTCTTGACAAAGATACGTCTTGCTCGTTTTAAATCGTCCGCTTTCTTGCCGAGTTTTTCTGCCAAGCGGTTGGAAGAATAGCTCGACTTTAAGTGCGTGAGAATGTCTCGTTGAATGCGGTTCAACAATTGTATACTCGGCACAAAGAAAGTTGCGAGTGCCTAGATCAAATACTTAAACGAATAGCTATCCGAACAATCAAACTCAAAGTTACACAATTTAATCTTTGTCGACAGAACGCAGTTTTATTGAATTCATAATTTATACATACGAAATCCGATGCGCATATATCCTATTATTATTACTATGGCGCTTGCAGACATTTTTGTGCCGAGTCATTTTGAAAAGCATTTACGTCGTGCCAATGACTTTTTCGGACTTTTACTATTGTTTTATAAGAATCCCGCGTGCCGAAGCCTTTCTTAGCGAGATGTAGGAACAAAAGGATGTTTTCGGACGTTTACCGATTTTCCTTTCGGTAGCGTATATACTATATATATTACGAATGCGAGTATACATGCTCATCAAAACACATCCTCATTTATTAAATTAAACCGTAATGTGTAAAAATTGTCTGGAGTATTAGCTCGCGGTGAGCTTTAGTTTAATGCTTTAGAAAGAGTCCTCGGTAGTAGTTTTTATTTAATCTGCGAACTTCTTATTTATGACGAATACTGCAAAAGTATGGGTTTAATAAATACTTGCAAAAAATCTACTGTGACTTGTTAATGCGAGTCCCCCGTCCTTATGTAATTCAAGATAATTCCCCGCTAGGGGAAACCAATGTATTCTATATCGTTTTCCTTTATATTTCTATCATCTTCCGCATATTAGAGAGAAATATAACATCTTCTTGCATCTCTCGTGGCAAAATGATCTATTTAATTCAAAGCATCAGTCTCACAATTGTTTTGTAATCCGGCATTATGGTATATCTAGTCTCATTCTTTGTGAAAAATAAATAATCCACGGCTTAATATTAATCATTTAGTTTCGTTAGGTAAAAGTTGTACCAACGCTTTATTGGTATTTTTCGCGATTTATGTACATTTCCATCATGCCAAGCAACACGCTCACACGATCCTTTTTACAAATGGAGACTATAACAACGTTTTGTATCTCTGTGCCGCGTATATTACTCAACTCATGTTTTACGAAGTACATAATATCAGTACAACACTCGAAGACAATATAAAAACAGTTTTAATCGGTCAAGTGGAAATATACTATTATTTATGCATAATTTTAATATTCATTATTCTGTTTTTTATCATATTCTTTTAGACTTATCTGATATTTGTTATGAAAAAGTTAAAAAATAAAATAATTTTTATTTCGAGAAATTAAAAAAAAATTTTTGTCGAAAAAAGAGCAAATGAATAAATAATAAATTAATTTTTGCAGTTCCATAACATTCTAGAAAAATATATATATATCGACATTAACACCGCTTCTATGTTGTTTCGTAGGGCATTTAAGTATACAGCCGCAACGAAAGATATAAGAAAATGCATACTGTTAAATAATCTTTTTTTTAAATATTACGTGCTCATAATTGCACTCGCACGTGAATAACAGACATTCCAATTATACGATCACTTTTCAAGCAAAAACACAAGAGCTTATAGAGGAATAACATATCAATTATCCAGTATATCAATCATCATAATTATTAATTTTTTACTGTCGACTGATTCTCGACAAGAGTATGAACTACGAAAAAGAGCATTTAACAATAGATCTTTCAAACTCTTGTATGTCTCCGTAATATACGTATAAATATGTATAAATAGTCGCAATAAACGTCAAATTGAAAATGATAATAGTATCAGAGTACAGCGGTACAGCATCAAAGTACCATTGCCTGTAACAATAATTTGAAATATCAATTCAGAAATAAAAATTATATGAAGAAATATTATGATTTAACAATAAACACTCGAAAGGTATACATGATAAATAATCAATAAATTATTAATTCAAGAAACGTAGACATATTAAGAATTGCCAGCAGATTTCTTAACAAGTCCTTATTAGAGGTTTGCAAAAATCTTACTGTACACGAATTTATAATTCACGTATAGTAAGCGAAATAACATTCAATCGAGTTCGTCAGTGGTGTCTGCTATCACTGCATGCAAGAATACGTTGTACACGGGCCTGAGTGCAATGAGAACGTGTACTGGATACATTGTACTATATTACAGAGGAGAAAACGCATTTCCTGAAAAGATCCGTGGTTTATATACAGACCTCCTTCTGCTACCGCGAATTGTTCTAGTTTCGACTATTACTTGTTGAACTGATTGTGAGTACCGATTCCGCTGAGCGAGATCGTGCGTACTCCCTCACGTAGACGAGAGGACAATAATCTCAGCACCGGCATCCTACAAGGATCATTAATCCTGCTCGTGCGACTCACGGCGCAAGCAAGTGACAAGAATCAACTTTGGTGCACGATGAAGTTGGGGTGTGTGTGTGTGTATGTGTGTGTATGTATATGTACGAAATAAATTAATTATAACAGTTTCGTTGCGCAACAGTTCCAGCACGAGAATCATAGCGGCGACGATTCCTTTGCGCTACAGTTCAGTCTAAATAATGCTCAATATTAGGCTGCGGTCGAGAATTGCGCTGAGACCGAAATTCGGTTGATGAAAGTCCTAGGGCGATGGATTTTAATATTGTCCGTTGTTTGTAAAATTAATCTAGTAGGAACGAATCGCTGGCGGAACCGTCGCGCATTCCTGTTGATTGAGCGTAACATCGATCACCGGTCTGTAGTCGAGAGACACCTTAAATAAATAAAATCAGATTAGAAGTCGTAAAATAAAGAAGGTTATTGATTGGAAGTTTTTAAAATGAAGAAACAATAATAAAAACCTACTAATTAATGTGAATATTGAGCGGAGGTACAAATTCAGAAAATGAGGAAAATTAAAGAAACATTATTTATAAGCTCATTGCCAGTAATTTTTAGACACCAATATCTCGATCTACAAATAATGAATGAAAAGTACCTCTCCTGTTCTCAGATTAATCTTCGACAGCGTGTGCTTTCTCCAATGTTGATCGAACGGTTTCGGTTGTTGATTTTCGATCGGTTTACTGTAGTCGTATTCGTCGATTCTCTGTTTATGATCCTCGCGAGCGTGTGCGCCGCGACTCTCCTTCCTGTTCTCCGCTCCGATTATGGTCTGCATTGCGTTGATCATGAGATTTTGCAGCTCAAGCGTCTCTACCAAATCGGAATTCCATATTAAAGATTTGTCCGCGACCTTTAGCTCGTCCAGTTTCTTGTAAAGGTCAGTCATCTTCCGACAGCCTGTAAAAAATACCTTTTTAATGCTGTTACATAACGCGAATGTGTACGACGGAAACGTCAATACTTTTTTTATTCACCTTCTTGCAAGTTACCAGCGTCTCTGAAGACTGCCGCATGCGTCTGCATGGTTTTCTGCATAGTCAACCTCAATTCCGCGGTGGAGATGGAACCGTTGGCGTTTCTGGCCCAGTCTAGATTAGCTACCGTCTCCTCGCCGGCGTTCTAAAATACACAAGACATTACGTGTCACTTATCTTGCAATAAAAATTAAATATAATTTGCAACACTCAAGGAAAGTTTCTATTTGAAATAGCAGAGAAGCTTACAGGTTTCAGAGGTCCGATCGTCTCGCCAGGTTTGTTCTCTTGGGCAATAGTTTTAGCGCAAGCACGCCCGAACACGACTAAATCCAATAGAGAATTGGCACCCAGTCGATTAGCGCCGTGAACGGACGCGCAGGCTGCCTCACCGCATGCATATAAGCCGGGTACTACTTTGTCCTGATTGTTCTCCTTGGTCAACACTTGACCTTTGTAATTCGTTGGCACACCTCCTGTATGTATCAAGATAACATTAGACTAATCTTTTCCACAGAATCGTGGAAATTGTTGTAAACAAACCGGCTTGTGGTAAATTTTATAAAAAAATTACTCCGTGTCATATTTAATAAACCATTCAGAATATTTTCCCACTAAGAAGAAACTTAACCGCAATGACTCCCGATGGCGTCATCGCGAAGAATGTCAGGGCTTTCGACTGAAATCATCGTCACGGAATATTAGTGGAAGGAAACTCATCGCGTGACAACAGCTATGTTCCATTTAGAGTTTCATTGCGAGGACGAAATGAAATTAAGTTTTTTTTTTATTAACACATTGATTGTTACGCGTATACAGGGTGTCATAAAAAACCATTCAATATTTATATGGTAGAGGACACACCATACTGAGTAAAAAAACCTAAATAACCATAGGTCGAAAACTCAACCGTTTCTGAGATACGAACATTGCAGGCTTTTACATGTCGCATGCGATGTTCTCCCTCGATCCCCTGATTTTAATCCACTGGACTTTTTTTACGGGGTTATTTGAAAAGCATAGTGTATTCTTCGCCGATAAATGACTTAGAAGAATTACGTGACCGAATCCAGCGTGCTTGTCAAATAATTCGATAGAGACCTGGAATTTTCGAGAGAGTTCGCGACTCTATAAGAAGATGCCAAGCGTGTATGGAAATGGAAGGAGGACATGTGGGACACCTGTAAATATCGAGATAATAATTTAGACAGATTACCATCTTCTTACGTCGCATGCGACATAGAAGCCAGTAAGTCAATCATATGATGCTGACATACAAAAATGTTCATATCTCAGAAACGGTTGAGTTTTCGACGTATATTTATTTAGATTTTTTTACTCAGTATGGTGTGTCCTATCTACCATATAAATACTGAATGGTTTTTTCAACACCCTGTATAATTTTCCCACAAATAATATTTCTCAAAGTTTTAATAAAAAATATTAACTGTAATATCTACAATTAAGTATATCTACAATTAAGTATATTCTTTAGCCCGAAGGTCGTCATTAAAACAATTAATGTTTATTAGAGGCATCGATGATCTCTCAATGTCTTAGTTAATTATATTCACGTACCCATATTGTAATGAACGGTGGGTAAGACGGGGATGGGTTCTCGAGTCACGTCGACGCCAGCGAATATCATCGCCGTCTCCGAAATCCCCGGCAGCCGAGCGGCCAGCTGTTCAGGCGGCAGATGGTGTAGCTGCAGGTAAATATGATCCTTCTCTGGTCCGACGCCTCTAAGCGGAGAAAGGGGACTATATTTACCACAAATACTTTCGAAGACGCGAATTTATCGGGCAGTGGCTCACCTGCCCTCTCTAATCTCCATTGTCATGGATCTGGACACCACGTCTCGCGACGCCAGATCCTTCGCTACCGGTGCATAACGCTCCATGAATCTCTCGCCCTCGCTGTTTATCAAATAACCACCCTCGCCGCGGCTACCTTCCGTGATCAGGCATCCGGCGCCGTAGATGCCTGAAATGAACACGATGTTTCCTTTTTATTCGCAAATCAAGGCGGTATCTAATAATCGTACTTGAATCCGAAAACTTGTTTCATTAAGTACTAAAATATTTTTATACTTCCGCACACATATAGATACTTCGATTTCTGTTCTAGTCACGTATATTTGCGCGTCGTCCATAATAGATTCCGATTATTGCCTAGATATTTTTATGTATCGACACAATTATCATTGAATGCCATTAACGCAATTTAGCCACTTTAAATACATGTAATTACACCTTTGTGCCGGCCTTCAATCGCTTTCGTTTAACTATTTGTTGTACGTAGAGCCTGATCTTTTACTTTTTTAATATTTAATTTGTCACCAATTAAATGTTACTTCCATAGTTTCTAAGGATCGTCGAAATACCTCAAATCCCACCGTTTATAGACATCTCTTTGCTCAGCAATGATATGATTCTGAGTTGTGTATACCTGTGGGATGAAATTGCACAAACTCCAGATCCTGATTGGGCAGATTGGCTCTGGAGACCATGGCGGTGCCATCCCCGGTGCAAGTGTGCGCGGATGTGCAGGAGAAGTAGGCGCGCCCGTAGCCGCCGGTGGCGAGCACCGTGTTCTTGGCGCGGAAACGATGCAAGGTCCCGTCCTCCAGGCAGAGCGCGATCACGCCGCGACATTCGCCGCCCTCCATCAGCAAATCGAGGGCGAAGTACTCGACGAAGTAGTTGCAGTCGTAGCTCAGCGACTGGCCGTAAAGTGTGTGCAGCAACGAATGGCCGGTCCTGTCGGCCACGCAACAGCATCGGTGAGCCTGGCCGCCCTTGCCGAACTTGAGGGACTGACCACCGAAGGCACGTTGGTAGATCTTGCCTGGTGGAGAGAACAAACACCCGTAATTAATTTTTATCGTTACGATGGATAGTATTCATTGACTTTTATTAATATTATGTGTGACGACACTGTAGAGGCTTTTTTTTAAAACCGATGTCTTAAACCCTTGGCTTAAATGTCTGATTCGCGATAAACAAGCCTAGGAATCATCTTTGTCAAAAATCATTTATACTACACATTTAAAATACGAAACCTTGTATAATGCACATTTAAATCGCTAGGCTACTTTCGCACAAACGTCGATTAACTGTTAATCAGAGATTAGTTGACTCTTAATTTTTTTTCTACATTATTATCTAAGAAGAGACAGAGAATCGATGAACCTCCAGTTAGCAGTTAACGTATGTGGAACTAGCCTAAAGATTTAAATGCGCACTATATAAGGTTTTGTATTTTAAATATAAATAAATTTTGATTAAAGATGATTTCAAGGCTTATTTCGCGAATCAGGTGTTAACATACATGATGGGTAAAATTGGAAGGATCTCCCGGATATCCACAATTCTCTCCGTTTATAAACGAAAAGGAGTCCGTAATGAATATAGAAGACGGTAATGATTGCGGCATTCAGGACTCAGGTCCGATGGTAGGCGACAGCGACAATCTTCAACTGCATGGCAACCGTGCAATGACATTTGTTATTTCCACGGTGTTTTGAAATATTCGGGATTTACTCTATCGATTGCGGGAACACAAATTCTTGCTTTCTACAATTCCTTCTTATCTACGAGTAAGAATGTATTGGTGCATAGATACGCGCACGTAGATACTGGTAGAGCAAGCGCATCTTTCTTTTGGGGGGATCATCGGTAAATCATGGAGGACGACAATAGAGGAGAAGGAAATGACGAAGTAACGGGAGGCGTGGAGAAGGATGGGGCCGCAGGGCAACAAGAAAGAGGTACTGATAATCAGTACCAACAGACACCAAGACCCCCCTCCAGCCGTAAACGCACGCGAGACGAGTGAGTTACATAAACATAACCGATCTATAATTAAGCGTAGACGTAATATATGACAGATGGGCACCTCCGGATTGCTGCTCCACATGCATAAGTGGCGTCTATTTTAACACACTATTTTTTTTTAAATCAGATTCGACCAACTTTTCAAAATGCACACATGTCGCTTACGCGACTACTTTCGGTCGTTAGTTCCCATTTGTAAATAATTGTCCGACGTATATCCGTGGACAGAATAGATTCCAGGCAGCAGGACAGAAAGCCATCCCGCTCGCGATCGAGGTCAAGCTCAAGCAGGCCTTTGAGGAAGCAGTGGAGAAGCGCGAACGCCTTTCTCAATTTTATGCAAGACTTCAGGCAGGTAACGAATCGCAGGAACGCACGGGGACAACACGCGCGAGCGTTATGTAAGCGGAACTGTGGAATTGCAGAATTGTAACAAAGCGAAGAGCAAAGATCTGTTTCGCCTCGGAGGGCAAACGTGGCGACAAATGTCGTCCGCGGACAAGATGCCCTACGTAGAAGCGGCCAAGTTGGCGCAGCAACAATCGCAACAGAGCAATAAGAGCGCGCAGCAGAACAAGTCTAACGGCAGCGACTCCTCGAAGAAGCCCGAGGGTCAAAGGGACCAGAAAAAGAAGGAACAAGGGGTGCGTGAATACGCGTTCATTAATTTCTCATCTTTTTTCGAAGCGAAATCAAATCCTTCGATGTCTCTACGTGTTCCCTCAAATTGATCATTAAATATTTAGTTAATTATTAAGAATTCATAAAAAAGAAAAGTTTAATATACAGTGGCCCATTATAATCTTTCCACGCAATTATTCCCTTATTTCCTAATTGCTTTCCGTCGTTCGAAACAAACGTTTCGGATAGAACTTACTCCGTTTCGAGAGGAACTTGTTATGAACACGAGCGAAATTAGTAGTTGGCAGTTTTATTAATCTCATAACTTTTAGCATCTAACTCACAGATATTTTAAATGTGCATCATAAATGCTTTTTGACAAAGACGATTCCTAGACTTATTCATCGAGAATCAGATATTTCACCCGAGGGTTTAAGACCATCAGTTGTTTACGTTTCAGGCGAGAAAGGAAAGGAGGCGCTCCAGAAGCAAGAGGGACGACTCCGACGCGGAGTCAGATTCTGCAACGTCGGGGACAGGCGTGACCGTGACCAGCGAGGACGTTTCGGACCTGAGCTCTTAGAAGCCTGCTTTGAATATTGAATTGAATTAAATTAACAAGGCAACAAGAATGTCCAGTAACATGTACACGAAACAATTTACTTCGATTACGTGTCCTGACGTTAGTCGTGTCGTTTTGAAATTTGAATAAAGTCGATAAATCTGAACGACGAGATATTACGAAACTAATTTATTCCTTTTAGCCGCTCTTTCTGTATCCTCTTGCGAGACTCTCCGCACTTATCAAATCATCATAATATCTCGGATTAGATCTGTATGCTCGGACTCTTCTATATCGCCGAATCTGTCGTCGTTTTATTTCATTAAAAAAAAACTTGTACTCTTTTATCTTTCTAAGCTTTTAGTTCTCTTTGTTCTTTGTTATTCCCAGTGCATGGGTACGTGTATTTTTATAATATATATATGTGTGTGTGTGTGTGTGTGTGAGAGAGTGTATATATAAAATATAAAAAGTTAAATAGTCTATCTGTTCATTATTCCCAGTTTCACTCACCGTCAGAGGTACGGCTGAAAGGCATGCCGCAGTTCTCCAGCTCGATGACGGCCTTCGGTGCCTCGCGGGTCATGTAGTGAATGGCATCCTGGTCGCCCAGCCAGTCCGAGCCCTTGACGGTGTCGTACATATGCCACTGCCAGTTGTCGTCCTCCATGTTGCCCAGGGCGGCGTTGATGCCGCCCTGGGCGGCGACCGTGTGCGACCTCGTCGGGAACAGCTTGGTGACCACCGCGGTCTTGAATCCCTCGGCCACGAGGCCGTAGGCCGCGCGTAGACCGGCACCGCCGGCTCCCACTACGACCGCGTCATACGTGTGGTCCACCAACGGGTACTGCTTGGAGATCTCGTCCGAGATCTTGGCCGTTCGGTCCGGCGTGTGGTGAAGCCTGCGGTTGCCGAGGAGCGGCAGTCCCAGCTTGTTCTGCGGAACGGAAGCGAAGCTTGGAGATACCGAGGCCAAGAGCGAGTCGCAAAACTCCCAGGATTTAGAGCGAATAGCGCGCATTAACCGATTTTCACTCGCTACATTATTTAACGGACGTAATAGCTGGCTGTACGACTTTCAAGGTTTATAAATTTTTCTATACAAAATTTAGAAATACACGTGTACTCTCTGCTCTTTGGAGTCAAATGGGATAAAATATTCGCCTTATTGGAGTGAATTTTACTCCAATAGAGTGAACATTCAATAAAGGTGAATATTTCATTCCATGGCGGTATTTTGACTCCAAAAACTTCAGAGAGCGCATGCATCTTTAAGTTTTGTGTTTTTTAGAAAAATTTTAGAAAGTACAATGAAAAATATGAACACGACGTACTGTAAAATTCGAATTCTACTAACAAGCTAATCTAAAGCAGCGATATATCAAATGGAAGATGCTGATGTCTAGTTTACAGCTTCCTGCTCTCATAGACTCTCAACGCGTGATCGCTTGAGAAGCTTCCTCTAGGATTTGAAAGAAAATTGTTAAGTAAGACGTCACGTTGTTATTTATAATGAGTCACGAATATACATATGGGATTGCGTGTGCGCGATATTGTGTGCATTCAATTCGACATATTCTATTTACGAGACTGCATCGAGACAAACGTCATCGATACTTACAGACAAAACGTGTCCGCTCTCATATTTCTTTTTACTCGGATTACTTATTGTGCGCAATTAAATATAATCGTATACAGTGTAACTGGACGATTTTGCGCTGATAAAATTTCACGCATCCGCATTTCACGGTCGCGCGAGTATCGCGAAAAGGATTTTGTCCGTGATCAAAAATCCGCAGGCTTCTTTCAGGATAAAAAGTGGCAGCGTTATGCAGTAGATACAAAAAGAGATCAGCATTAGATAAAACTAGCTACCAGACGCTTGTAATACTTGGTAAAATTTCGAAAGATACAATCCACACTTTTATAACGTTTTTTATCCAAGCAATTTAACGAGCGTGTCTTCGCAAACGAACGTTTTCGAGTTACGTCCGCGGGCTAATTAGCGGCTTAATTAGTCCCCGGCCAAGAAATATAGATTACGCAATGGATCCTTCACTTCTTCGCCACATATCGCGTAGCAAAGTAGCAAAAGCGACGAGCGCGCACGAACGCTCGGAGAAACACTTGCAGAAAACGATAATTTTCTGCTTATCGTTAACTTACGATTGCACCAAGATAAGACGCTGAAAACATTTCCGTCAGATTTCGAGATCGCGCGACGTCAATACCTTTCCGCGATCTTTCGGAAAAAGCGAATAATTCAACGTCGCTTTACCGAAATGCAAAACTCTCGATCTGAAATATCTCGACGTAGGCGAATTTCGTCTCGCAAAATGTAAAGAGAGCTTCGATTCAATTTGCTTGAACGTACACAGTTGGAAACTTTGTGTTTTCTCGTGTAAAGAAAATGCCGGTTAAAATTTTTGTTTTAAAAGTTCAACACATTCATGTGCTAATTTAATATATTGCTCTTGTGTTAATTGACCTGGAATGTAAAATTATAAAAATACTTGAAAAGAAATGTTAAAACAACACAATGTGTACTTACTTTTTAATCTTACACAATACATATGTTCTATATTATTAGTAACGAGATTTATCTGTTAAAATTTACAGAATAAAATGTCGATTTTATGTCGAGTTTATGTCGACTTGTTACATCAGTAAAATGTAAAAATTACATTAAAAAAGTTCATTTTGTCATTAAAAATATGTTAATTTTACACAAAATTTATTTCGAATCATTTTGAGATTTGCACTTATTTTGTGTTAAAATATTAACAGAGTGTGACCATTTAACATTAAATTAACACAAAAAATTTGTGTGGGCCGTTTGGGACATGTGACATCTGTCAAATTTAACACGAATTTTTCAACTGCGTAGTCTCAATTTAGTATTAAAAAAGCTTCGTCAAATATTTGCCTGCCGACGGTGGATCTCTCGATCGACGCGATGAAACGCAAAAGGCTGCGAGATATCGCGGAGGCGCGTCGCGTCTCGGTTAAAGTAACGGCAGTATTTCCAGATGTGAAACTTATTATCTTTTTAATACAAACGCTCGCGTAATTTACCGCCGGATAAAAATCTTGATAAGAGAGCCCCGGCGGCTGTTTGACAATTTCGTGCGCGATAAAACCTGGCGCGCCCGTAACGCCCTTCCCCGAGAACGCACGTCGGAAAATCCAGAAGCGAGGACGCCAAGAAAATAACGTTAGGGCTCGTGCACAACGCGAGGAGCAAGGGACTAAACATGAGGAATTAGGAATAGGGAATTCAATTCCCACCTATGGTAAGCCACGCATGCGTTCACGAGGGAAGAGGAGATTCCCAATTCCTGCCTTTCCACAGGTCGCGGAACTCGATTCCCTTACACGTTCAATTCCTCGCCTCTTATTCCCCTCATTGTGCACGAGCCCTCGTCAACCGAGACGCTACGCAAAATTGCGCGAGGCCAGGAGGTGCGCGCGCGTTATCGCATTTGCATATCCACGTCTGTACCGCTCGCCAGAAAGATTTGTCAAATCTAATCTCGGCCAATTAATTAAAACGATCAGTATCGGCGTATTGCGTAAACGCGAAGCTAAAAGTCTCCCATCGAGCGTCGCGCGCGCGCGCGCGCGCGAGATTCGATCAGAAAGTGGCCCTTCGCCGCCCCGTCCTTTCAAATCCGGCTCGCCGGATATCGATACCTCGCACGCCGCTCAAACTAATCGACATCCACGGCGGAACGCCGTAAAAGCGTATCGAGCCATCGAGAGAGGTACCGTTAGACGCGCGAGCGCAGCAGCCCCCGCGGGTTGGCCGACGCGGCGGCGCGGCCGAGCATATGGAGATCGACGGTCCCGTTCCACCCCACGGCGGGGTCTCCGCGGGGCGCGCACGAGGGGGAGGATTTCCCCGCGGCGGCGGCGACGGCGAGCGGCCGAGGGGATGCCGCGCGTCGGGCGACGTCGTCGCGGCGCGCTTCCGGCCGCGCGTGTACCTATTCGTCGGCCGCGCGCACCTTACGTAATTGACCCGCCGCGTCTCGTGCGGCACCTCACCACCGGCGGGACGGCGAATAAAAAATTACATAACGTGGTGCCGCGGACCCGGCGCGACCCTGACCTGCGTCACTAAGGTACCGCACGCGCCGAATAACCGCGGGCGACGGCTCGGCCGCGACGGATTCTTTTTTTCCCCCCTTCCTTTAAGATGGCGCGAGGTAACGCGAGGTTTTCTAGGCCAGGTGCGCCCGCGAGGTCAGTGCCAGTCCGGGGTTTTCGGGTTCCGGGAGGGCCCGTGGATTCCCTCCCGCCCGCCTCTCCCCCGGCGCCGATCGGCCGGCCACGCGTCTCGCCGCGCCGGGGTGCGCCAATTCGACGGCGGGCGAACGGGGGACGGGGGAAGGAGCCACGAGAATCTCTGTTGGCCGAATTGCGAGTCGCGAGAGCTCCGGTTCTCGCTCTCTCTCTCTCTCACCAGCGTCGCCGCACCGGGCAGACTCCTCGGCAGCAACGACGCCGACAGCTTCAGCAACCCGCTCATCTTACACGTCGCCCTGCTCCTGCGTCCCTCGCTCCTTGGCTTCCCGTCGAGATACCGCCCTCCCCGCGATACGGACCCGCGCGCAACACGCGACTAACCCTCAACGGTTACTGTCCGGCCTCGGGTCTGATCCGCTCACCTCGGCGGCTCGACACCGACTGAGACGCCGAGCGGCGCCGGAATGCTGCGCGCGCACAGTGCTGCCAACGCGCACTCAAACGTCATCCAAAACGCGCGCTCCGGGGCTGCGTCGCGCGACGCGAAATAACACTCGAAAATACGTATAGTCTTTCATTTTGAAATTGGGAGCGTCAAATTCGAACGAGCACCCGATCCTCAGTCGGCACCCCACGTCGATTCCGCGCGGTACGCGCGCAAAATGAATGCGCGATCGCGCCTACGCGAACATAACCTCGCTTCCAGCGCGCACACACGCGCTGCCCGAACGGCAGGCGTAAAGTAGTGGGAGAGCTTCGGTTTGAGGGATCTCTGTGTTGGGGAGGTTTACAAGTTTTTGCTTGTACACGCTCATATTTTCGATATTAGAAAGCGAAAGAGAGCGAGGAGCAAGAGCAATACAAGTATTGAATTGATTCTGAAAATTCGAGATGATAAATGCATGTCTCTTGACCGCGTATTTTTCAAAAACGGCGAGGAAGATCTGAGAAACAAATCTGCGCTGAATAAAATGCGCCTCTTTGAAGTAACTTAAGCGAAATTGAAAACGATTGGTGTCAATGCCGTTCCGGGCCACCCGGTATACTTCGAACGAGGAGACACAACGTGGCGAGATAATGTGAACTACTTTTACTGCGAACATATAAACGTGTGCGTGTAAGTGGTCACGGTTTCTTAGGCCCGTATTCTGAATTCTCTTTTATCGATAAAAGCGCCTCTAAAAGTGGCTTGCGGCCAATCAGAGGGTTTATTAGTTACTTTAGGGCGAATTTCACGAACATCGGTTACCTGTTAACCAGAGTTCAGTCAACTTCCTATCTTTTTCTATCGATTTAAAAAAGACTGACTTGCTGCACTGGGACAAGAGTAACTTATATAAATGTAAGTCTATGTATTCTTGCGTTTGGAATAAAATTTCCCTTCATCTTACAACGCACGAAGTTGGAGCACCACGACATTCGACAAAAGACGATCCTAGATTTTAGAATTTTTCATTTAAGATTAAAATATCCCTTTCTCTGTGATAAATAAGACTGGCGCTATATCGATCCTATTTTATGATACATTCAAATATAATAGCATTGAATCCGGAAGTTTTGTTCTGTGGTTGTAACGTCGAGTCGACGGGGTCGAAACTGCGTCCCAACCGCTAGTTTTCAAAAATAATTAAAAGCTTTGGAACTTTACTTTTTGTATTAAATTTTGTATTGAAATTTATTTATATTAAATTTTATATTAAATAAGTTAACTTGGCAGTCCTCTCCAATAAGATCTTAGAAATATTCAGAACGTTGAACGTAGTAATTTAAAAAACTTCGGAGGATTGCTTGGCCACGTCCGGCAAATTTTTATGTTCAAAATCACGGCGTTTCGACCATTGTTTGTGGTCCTTCTCAAGTGTTGAACTTGTTAGTAAGTCAGTACGTTGAAGTAAAGGAGCCGATCATGATTTCACACGACTGATTTAATACAAAAAAAGTTAATAGAAAAAAAGTTAAGTTCCAAAACTTCATTATTTTCAAAAACTGATGGGGCTGGGACGCGGTTTCATCCCCATCAACGTCGATTCGACGTTACAATGTTGTCACTGGGTTGTTGATAAAAGAGGGTTCAGAATACGGGCCTTCGGCTCTGGACATGTGCACTCGCGACATTGAACCGTTTTCTTATCTCAACTGCGTAACTTTTATCTCTACATGTCGCATACGTGTGCGTTAATTGCAACTATAAAATAAATCGTCCGCGTGACGCACGCAACTTTTAAGCATTCTGCTTGATATTCCGTTTTGCATATTTATAAAATATACTATACGCTTCATTTTACGAAATAAAAGTTATAACATTTCAGAAACGTCTAGAAAATGTGGTCGAATAGGATACAAATCAGTAGGTGTATAATATTCTTTGGATTTGCAGGCATACATTAATACGTGCATATTTAACGGAATACGTAAAGCGATTAGCAAGAATTTATGTCTTCCGTGAAAAAAGTTTATTCAACGTTTATCAGCGCGATGTCGTAATGCTATCACCGAAGGTATAATTAACGATTTATCTCTTACGAAACTAAGTAGCGGATACAGTGACATTGGTGAAAACACGCTGAACCGTAATCGATGTCTCTTTCATATAAAAACAAAAGAAAAATTGATTACGACGCTTCATCGATATTCTTGCATAACGTAATTCGCTATCGCAGCCTCCGGTGGAAGGAACGTTCGAAGGAACGTTTTGCTAATTGCTTCAAGAAACTTTCGATTCACTTTTCTCATTACGAATTAAATTGACCGAGGCATTAATTATTTCTGCCAGTAAACCGCAATTGACGCCTTTTGCGCGCGGGGCAATTTATGCGAGATATTCGAAAGGAAATAATATGTAAAAGTAATATTCAAAGAATAAATATGTTTTTCGACGATTTTCTCTCGCAGTTTCTCCGATTTCTGATGGTGTCTAGTTTTCGGATTTCACGCGCCTAACTTCTAATGTGGGATTAGCGATAACGCGATGACCGACTTATTATTAGATAGATAGATTTATAATCGCATCGTTCCCATTGCGTTTCAAATATCCGACTGCCGACGATTATATTTCTTGGGTCAATATACACGAACTGCCGGGGGCACGTGCTGGGCTTCGGTTTCGTCTAGAGTCGTATCGATAACGGGCCGATAAGAGATGTAAATCTGTAACAGAGTGCGTCGTTAAGAATCGCAATCTGTCTGAATAATCAGTGATAAGTTATTCAGTTAGAAATGTGCTATATAGTTCCAATAAAATGTGTTGAAGCAAAATGTATATTTGACAGAAATTAAAGGACTTAGCCAATTGTTTTATAAGTAAATATTGTTCATATAATTCGTAGCATCCGTCATAGATTGTGCGAAAGTTCAGGTTTGAACCTTGACTGATTTTTCTCGCAATAAATTCTTTGCGGTGATTTTAATGTCGATTTACTGCTCCAACAAAAAGCTGTGTGAGATAAATAATCGGCGCGCACTTTATTGTCTTATATAAGTTGGAAAAGGTGCTACAGAAAAAGGTGTGTGACAAACAATCGGCGCGCAGTTTATTGTCTTGTATCGTGCAAGTTGGAAAAGGTCTAGAAAATTTACTCGGAAATATTATTTCGGAAATATTATCCGATAAATGCCGTCTCTCCAATTAACTGTAATATTTATTAGTAATTGTATTTCAATAATTTCTAATGGGGCGTAGAAACTCTTTTAATTTGTAATCTTCGAGTGGTTCGATCTTATTTTATCAATGACACTCCTTCAACCCGCGGGAAAAGAAATTTGATGTCATAAATTTTTTTTTTTAGCGCGTAAACTAACCGTTCCATCCTCCTGAGCCCACGTAAGCGTATGTTTGCGCCAGTGTTCCGTGTAAGGTCGTTTCTTTTGTCCGACTAGCGGTTTGGAATAGTCATACTCATCAACTCTATCCTGGAAATGATATAACCATTCATTCATGAGAGTCTCTCGATTTCAGTCGGCTCGTGTACGCAATTTCGAAAATCTCAGCCTTGCTTATTGCATTCGTCATTAATCATTCGCAATTGCACCAATCATTTGTAATTTCGGATAGGCTAATTTTCTTCCATTAACATATTTTCTCTATTTGAACCTTGTAGTCTTCCCTGGAGTGCGAGCCTCTCGATTCCTTTCGATTTTCGGCCGCGTATACGATGTGCATGCAGATGAGCATCATGTTTTGCAGCTCCAGGGCCTCGACGAGTTCGGTGTTCCAAATGAGGGACTGATCCTGCACCTAAAAAAACCATTAGATAGCGATCCACATGTGCGTCTGGATCTACAATAGATAAAACATGATGCGTATCATCGTCTTATGCAACGTTGTTGGCTTATGCAACGCCACCGGTCGCAATGTAGCGGTGCAATTATTCGTGTAATCATATTAGACTCTGGTCATTTCCGTACCACAAATCGTTTTCGATTTCACACATGAACTGAAAGAACTTTTAAACAAATACCTAATGTTCCCATAACTTTGCGAATCTGAGTCTAAATTTTTTAATTTAATTGCGAGAGAAACGTATGCGCAAATTCTGCTTTTACAGAAAAGTTGCAAACTGACTGGTTATCGCCTGGTTCTTAGCCAATCGACTTGCAACTTTTCTCTTGCGAATGAATTCAAGAACCTAGCCCCTGGGATTTACATTGAGTTTAGAAAAGTTAGATAAAAAAGCAGCGTGTACTCCCGTACTAATTGTAATTAGTCGAAGTCGATATTACTATGTAAAATAAAAGTGTTAATTTTACAAAGGACACAACTATTGTACGCGTTTCGACACTACGGTGTCTTCGTCAGCATGTTAAAAATTTAGTAAGAAAAGATAGAATTTAGGTCGCGTGATAAAATGTCGTGTTGAGAATATCAAATGTACAATCTCTTAAGAGCCGTTAATGCTGTGATTATAATTAAAAAGGTCAAATTGACTATGTCGTGCTCAGTGTTCACCGCGTGACTAATTGTAAGATGTCAAATAATTCCCTTCTAGTTCATTCCGGACAATATGAAGGTCTAAATAAAACATAATGTACAGCGATATGTAAAACTAAGTCAGTAGTTAAAAATTCGATACTGATTATTTCACGAACCGCCGTAGACTCGCGACAAATTGAATTTTTAACTGCTGACTTAGTTTTACATATCGCTGTAAATCATGTTTTATTTAAACCTTCGTCCGGGATGAACTAGAAAGGACTTATTTGATGTCTCAGCCACGCGGAAAACCTTGAGCTAACTTGGCCTTCCCAGTGAGAAATGATTGGTCGAAACGACGTCGAATCGACATCGACATTGTCAAATTCGACACCAATTTGACGGTGTAGATGCGACATCGCGTTGACGTCGATCGACGAGTCATTTCTCGCTGGGTTTGTAATTACAATCACAGCATTAACGGTTCTTAAGAAGTTGTACATTCTATATTTTCAATGCGACATTTTATCACGCGACCTAAATTCTATCTTTTCTCACGAAATTTTTAACATGCTGAAGAAGACACCGTAGTGTCGAAACGCATGCGATCGTCGTATTTTTTTGTAATTAGTCGAAATCGATATTACTATGTATGTAAAATAAAATCGTAAATTTTATAATAATCTGTACATTCTTTCTGCTCGTTTAATACCATTGGCCGTGATATTGAATATTTCTAAATTGACTCCTAAACAACTTTACAATTAATAATAAAGTGCGGTGATCGGTTTACGCATAAATCTGGCAGATCGCAGGTGTAGAGGCGGGACATCTCCCTGCATGCGCGCTGCAAAATGTCGCAGGTCCGGAATACCCCGCAGTACCTCTGCATCGTACGCTGCATCTCGTCGCGCAGCTCGACAACGGGGACGCAGCCTTTCGCATAACGGGTCGCGTCGAAGCGACAAATGGACTGCTCGCCGATGTCCTGCATCCAAATCGCTATTTGACCACATGCGTTTGCATGCTAATTCGTAGCTCGTAAAACGCGGATCTTCCGCGACCTGGACGCGCGAGTTCTAGGTCCACGCTTTTAATATACAGCTCTAAGAAGAAACTTTATATTCGTAAAAAAAAGAAAAAGTAAAGAATAAATTTATAAATGTATATTGAAACCGTATAGATAAAGTAGTCGCCGAAATATAATTGTTTAACTGTAGCAAACAGATTCTTTGCTGATTAATCTTAAAACATATTAACCGAAAAATTATTTGGCGACCTTAAACTGGCCAAGTGGTTATGATTGGATGAGCAGATATTCGCTTTTGTATTTCTCCACGATTTCATTAATGTGGTGCAATCTTCTCCAAATTGTTCCGAGACGTAATTATAAAAGCTGATCTCCGTATGAAACGGTGTATAAACGACGAGAAAGAATATTGTTGTCGCCAGTAGTTGATTAACAGTAGAAAAATATTTAAAGTGATTTTTTTTAGAAAAAATTATTTGATGACTTTAAATATTTTTTTCTATTGTTAATCAACTACTGGCGACAATAATATTCTTTCTTGTTAAAACATATCGTCACGCAGTAATCTGAAATGTAATGTCGTAACGACGTGGATTCTGCTGACGATGTTGCGTCTCGATAAATTTGCGACAAAAAGTTCCAGTCGGAACAGAAAGAGAGGCGTCCCCGAGGCAACCCGCATAATTTTTTCCTTACTGGCGACAATTCCTGATGACGTTCGCCAGGCCTGGCGATACAGTCGATCTGGTCGGCGATGGCTTTGCCGAAGACCACGATTTCCAGAAGGCTGTTAGCACCCAGCCGATTAGCACCGTGAACAGACGCACACGCGGTCTCGCCGGCTGCCCAGAGGCCTTCGATCGGCCTGTCCTCCTCGTTTTCTCGCGTTAATACCTGACAAGGTGTTATTTATGTCGAAAATATAATTACGGCGTCAAGTAACCGCGCCGCGAACACCGATAATCACATGTTATCTCTCATTGTTATCTCTGTACAAACGTTCTTTACTTGGCCCGTGACAAATAATCGAATATGCACGTTTACTTTTATCATAACAAAACGATTTAGGGTATTAGCAATGGTAATACGATTATGTGACGTAAATACACTTCCCAAAATAGCACGGGTAATCGTTACGAATTAGCGTAATTTATTTTAAATGAATTCCAAAAGAATTCTTTTTCGATATCTTACAGAGTATACCAAGAATTCCTTTTGTATCCGAAAAAGAGATTAGAATTGATATAAGAGCGAATTTATATTCGGAAAGTAAACTTCCCTAAAAACTTTTTCTCAAGAATATTTTTAGAGCAGAAATGGAACGAAACAAGAATTTATTTCATCAAGAATGTAAAAAGAATCCTCTCTGGATTCGCTGTACTATCTGGATTGTCTGATTACTAATCTATATAGGTATTACTCTGAATATTCCTAATGCTAATTGATCTAAGTTTCAAGTTTTTATATTTTTTTATATTTGTTAATTTTATGCAACACCTTTTGCAACTCTTTGTTCTTAGTCTCACTGAGGCTGGCCCGAAAATGGGTCGAAACGTTTGATGATTAATTTATAAATTCAATAAAAATATATTTTATTAAAATATATATATTCCAATAAATATATTTTATTAAAATATATATATTCCAATAAAATATATTCCATATATTGGATATTATCGCACGAACACCTGCGTTTGGCTCGCATTGGCCCTCTTCCCCCCCTCCAAACTGATTAATAATGTAACGGTATCTAAAATAATATCTAAAATACAACGATTGAAAACAAATATAAAATACTGAAACGGTCGACTAGGCCGGCAGTTTGTACGCCGGTTAGTGAAAAATAATCAAGGTTGGGAAAGTTACTTTATAAAAGTATCTAGTTACAGTTTTTTCGCTAAAAATGTAACTAGTTACAGTTACAAGTTACCAATTCTGAAAAGTAACGCGTTACAGTTACTAAAAAAAATAACGAATCGTTACTTTGCAGTTACTCCCTCGCAATGAAAATAAAAGTATCAAATCTGCATTTGAATTGTAAAGCGTCGATAAAGGGGTTTATGCGCAAATGCAAGACCTAATGCGATCTGTGAAGGTTTAAAAAATATATATCGTAACTGTTAATGTAACTATTAAATTAGTTACCAGTTATCGAAAAGATGTGACTGAGTTAAGTTACAGTTGCAGATGTAGAGAAAGTAACGAAGTTAAGTTAGAGCAACCGAAAAAAAAGTAACTGTAACTGTAACACTGTCGTTACAAATAACGAGTTACTTCCCAACTCTGAAAATAATTATAACAGTTGTTCTAAAGTAAGCTATAATTATACTGTTTCTCACTTGCGCACGCCAGTTTGTAGGTACGCCGCCCATGTTGTAGTGCACCGTGGGAATCACGGGGATCGGTTCCTTCGTCACGTCCACTCCAGCGAATACCCAAGCGAGGTGCGAGATTCCGGGCAGCCTCTCGCGTAACAGCTCGGCCGGCAGATGGTTCAGTTGCAAATAAATGTGATCCTTCTTCTCCCCGACGCCCCTGCGAGAAATAGCGCGGGGCAATGTATTTTTCTACAGAAAAAAAACGCGGCCACATGGACCGCATGCTCTTACGCAGCGACGCGTAACTAATTCAGCGTAACTAACGGTGTACTCCAACTTCCAGGAAGTCGGGATAATGAATGGCGTAGTCTATTACCTATTTCTTACTCGAGTTTAGATAAAGAGATTTATTCGCATAGAATTTGTTTAGTTGCCTCCAAATAAAAGGTTCGCGTGTACGCGACAGTAAATTTGCCCACCAAAACTACCGAAAAAGTCGAAGTAGATGTCCTTTCCTTTATAAATATATTGCTGTAGGAAGTTCTAAAAATTTCTACGCGTCCTCCATTCTTCCTTCCACATTTATTAACCCAGTGCGAAATGATTCGTCGACCGATGTCGTTTCTCGTTGGAAAATTAAATATGTTAAGTCTTGGTCTTTTTGTGGAGACGGAAAAGAACGAGAATTAGAATACGAGGGATCGTCCAACCTTCCGTCCAGTATTTCGGCAGTCATAGCTCTCGACACAACGTCGCGGGAGGCTAGATCCTTGGCCACGGGTGCGTACTTCTCCATGAAGAACTCTCCCGCGGAGTTGACGAGTTTGCCACCTTCTCCCCGGCTACCCTCGGTTATGAGTATGCCGCTGTTGTAGATGCCTGCAACGTGACATCAGTCGATCAGTTAAGGGAGGAGAACAAGGGAGAACGAAGTCGTCGACGGGGTGTGTAGCCGATCTGAAAATACCGGTCGGGTGAAACTGAACGAACTCCAAGTCCTGTAACGGCAATCCCGCTCGACACGCAATCGCCATGCCGTCGCCCGTGCAGGCGTGCGCCGCGGTACAGGAGAAGTAACATCTTCCGGCGCCACCCGTTGCGATCACCTGCAAGGTGATATTTATACAGAGTTGGGAAAGTTACCTTATAAAAGTATCTAATTACTGTTACAGTTTTTTGCCGCTAAAAATGCAACTAGTTACAGTGTGCAAGTTACCAATTCTGAAAAGTAACGCGTTGCAGTTACAGTTACTAAAAGAAATAACGAATCGTTACTTTGCAGTTACTTTCTTGCAATAAAAATAAAAATGTCAAATCTGCATTTGAATTGTAAAGCGTCGATAAAGGCGTTTATGCGCAGATGTAAGGTCTAATGCGATCTGTGAAGTGTAACTATTAAATTAGTTACTAATTATTGAAAAAATATAATTGAGTTAAGTTACAGTTACAGATGTAGAGAAAGTAACGAAGTTAAGTTAGAGTTGCCAGAAAAGTAACTGTAACTTCGTTACAAGTAACGAGTTACTTCCCAACCCTGTATTTATATTGCTACGCGGGGGGAGAATTTTCTCTTAAAGTTTACCCTGAAAATCACGCAGTCGTGGTACAACGTGACATTTTGAAGAACTGAAAGTACACGGAAAGAATTTTCTTTTAAAATTTATCCTGAAAATCATGTAACGTCGTGGGACAACCCGGCATTTCGAAGAATTTTATGAGTTCTTGTTTTACTAGTAAAATATTTGGTAAAATTTCAAAAAACTCATAAAAAATTCTTCGAAATACCGGGTTGTCCCACGACATGATTTTCAGGATAAATTTTAGAAGAAAATTCCGTGTACCGACATTAATATGTTTGGATAACACATGTGTAAAAGATGAATAGCAATTGCTGCGTCGGCGATAAATAATGTATTATTACTTTTGTGCAAATCAAATAAATAACAACGTAACGCAGATCTCGCGTAAGCCTTCTCCCTTACTGTATGATGAGCCCTAAATCGGTGCAGAAGTCCGGTCTCCAATTCCCAGGCCAGAATCCCTTTACAGCATCGGCCGTGCATGAGCAGGTCGAGGGCGAAGTACTCGATGAAGTAGTGCACGTCGTAGCGAAGACTCTGGCCATAGAGGGTGTGAAGTAGTGCGTGGCCGGTTCGGTCTGCGACGGCGCAGGTTCGCTTAGCCTGTCCGCCTTTGCCAAATTGCAACGACTGGCCACCAAAAGCCCGCTGATAGATCTTACCGTCTTCCGTACGACTGAATGGGCAGCCTATGATTTTTTAAGCGGAGGGTTTTTTTTAGTACTTTAATATATTCGTAATTTATTCTGGTTTACCGTAATTTTCGAGTTCGTAGACCGCTCGAGGCGCTTCCCTCGCGAGCAGATGTATAGCGTCCTGATCGCCCAGCCAGTCGGACCCCTTCACTGTATCGTACATGTGGTACAGCCAGTTGTCTTTCTTGTCGTCGGCGATAGCAGCGTTTATGCCACCTTGGGCAGCCACGGTATGTGACCTAGTTGGAAAGAGTTTTGATACTACTGCCACGCGGTATCCTTTTTTACCAAGACCGAAGGCCGCTCTTAATCCCGCGCCTCCTGCTCCTACTATTACCACGTCATAGCAGTGGTCTATCATAGGATAGTTCTGCAAATCAGTAGCGCGAATAGTTTAACAATTGAGACAATGCTAACTGAAGAATTCAGAATAATTGGTTATAGAAATGCGCTAAAAGATTGAATATGTTGTTTCATTACAAATAAAAAAAGAGATATAAGATTGATACATTCGCATTTTTTAAGACAAATTTGTGTACTTTGGGAAGATACAAGAATAGATTAAGTTATTTATATGAAAATAATTTACATAATCTTGTTAGGCGATGACATAAAGAAGGGAGTGAGAGTTTAGCTCTTCTTTTAGACAGAGTATTTAAAATTATGTGAGAGATTTTAATTAAATAATAAAAATCTATTTACACTTCTACCATCGTCCACGTGGCCGCACTTTGCCTTTTCCGCTGGGCTAACATTTACATGAAAGCTTCGTGCATTTCTGATTGTTGCACGAGATTGTCTCACGAATTTCTAGGGAAAAGAAATTACCGTTCGCTTCAAATTAATAATAGGATGCTTTAGTATTAAGCATAAAGTCTTACAAGTATTCCACGCGTTTGTGTTAATCGACCGACCGATCGCTGCAACATCTTGGCAAATATTTGCTAGGTTCGAATGCTCTTCGACAACTGTCATGACTGGTGAAGCTCTTTCAGCTTCTGCGCAACTCATTTGTCAGCTAGTAAAACAAATGAGAAAAATTTAAATATCACTTACAAACTCGTTATATATATCGTGTGCGATTATTTTCGTGAACAGTTTTCTGATGCAGCAATTTAGAGGATTAAGATAAAAAGAGGGTCCAAGTTAAAGATCCGAGTTTCCTGTTAGAAAACTCGTGAAGTTATTACATCCGTTATAAGCATCGCAGTTTATTGCACTTGCAAAAATACAGTTTGGGACGTACGTATGATTTATGTCTATTGCGTACAATTAGTTCAAGATGCATTCTTCCAAGTTAGACATCGAGACAGTTTCGTCAAACGCTTATCGCAATGTTACTCTTTGGTATACGTTACGAACACCAGAGAGCCAACGTATTTGACGAATCACTCTTGTTAGAATTATTACGAGTAATCTGCGATTAGTACGGCTTGTAAAATGTTATCTAATCCATTTTCTCACATCTCGTTCACAACTTTGAAAAAATAGTTTCCCTCTTTCTCTCTCTCTCTCGAGAATTAAAAAAAATAGAATATCTGACGAAATGTATTAAAAATAGTGAATCGATAACTTCCTTGAATTTGAAACCCATGTCTTCTGCGCCAGTGGAAATTTGTAGCTTCTACTTTCCTTTTATTTATCTCAAAACGTAGGCTCGGCACACCGAATCCTATATATTTTCCAAAGCGTTTTGTACAATGTATTAATTTGTACTTTTAGTACATATAAAATAAATAACCTTTTCTTACCGCGATGAAGAATAAATATGAGGGGCTTTTGTAAGGTTTAATTGTGCGTTACTATATACATATAGTTAAGCACATATTTAATTTACTTATAATACATATAATACTTATAATTAATCTCCTTTCTTCGCATTGCTGGCATTTTGCATTCCATTTCTCATTAATGACACATTAATTGAGCGACACGTGATGCTTCGAGAGCTATCAGCACGACTCACATAATCACTAGCAGTTTTCTAATCTTATTTTACGAACTTTTTTACACAAGAATCCTGTGAGGATTAGGCAATTATATATAATAAAAATCCATGTTCGTAGAATTAAACCTAAAATTCGAAATCAGGAGATATTATCTTAATATTTAGATCACCTAGCAAACTATGTAATTAAATTTTAATATAAAAAACACAAAGCAATTCACTTCAATATATTTTAATTCTGAATAATAACCCATGTTTTTTAATTGACGATTCGCTACTCACTGGAATTAAAATGGATTAAACTTAATGTACATATGCAATTTTTAAGACCGTTACCATTCACACTTTTACATTAACACACGCTGATTCTTCTTATTCTTCAATTTTCAACAGGAAATATACTCGCATGACTCTCTGTTCACTTGTATAAAAAGCTTTATCAAAAAGTCGCACTTGTGAATTTATAGAAAAGACAGCTGCTCTGCAATCGTTCGGCGACTCTCGGTGTACGCGTACATACATCATGTTTGTGACGAAAAAACGCTTATCAAATATATCACTAGACTATTCAAGTATAGCGAGCAAATCGACGCACTGTCTACAAAGCGAACTAAAGTAAATTAAAAAAAAAAATTCTCCTCCGGCAATATAAAAATGCCACCTCGTAAAAGTTACTCTCAAAACTCTGAGATTTATAAAAACTGCCTGAATTATATACCGATATGTATATATTGTCGTGATAAGGCAGTTGATCCATCGCCTAACAATCGGAGAATAGTTTCAAAATAAATTCTCGATCTCGCAAAATACTTTCGAAATGACAAATTACAGTATACCTTTCCCTTCGGGAAACATTGGTATTCCTGATCCCGAGAAGACCGTTCTCGAAATAAAAAATTAGAGCGTGTATTCTTTTGTTCGGAGAATATCTTTGCGGTGATATTTTCTTCTTCGTTTTGTTTCTTCAAATATCAAAGTACAGTATGATTAGCGGCAGTGTTCGATGAACGATGTTCACAACGCGAGTCTTCTGACGCCGCACTCGCAGCAGAACTTGGCGGTTTCCGGAAATCGCCGACCGCACTCGTGACAGAACTTGGACATCTTGTACTTGATCGCCGCTTGTGTCGGTGACGTTCCGTTCCTGGGCGCGTCCTCGTCGAGACGGTCGATCGTGTCGTTGGCGCTGCGTCCATGATGCGAATATTTGCGATTTAAACTGGGGGAGGGCACAAATCGAACTGAGCTTGAAGTACGCGAGAACACGGAGAATGCAGATGTGAATGAGCAATGATTAAAAACTGCAATTGATAGTCGTCGAAAGGCGAGCGATGGAATTTCTAGATTTAGAAAAAAATCTTCGTATTTCTTCCTATGACTAATTTCAGATAAAGATTAATAAAGATATGAATTAGTAGTCTTGAATTCTCTCGGCACGGTTGTATTGCTGTCACTCTAAGATTGATTTCTTATTTAATCGTTAACCGATTGATTGATCGATGAAGGCGAAGGATGTACATGAACAGCAATTTTAAGGACCAACCTGCTGTAAGCGGAGTCGTTGCTGAGCTTGCTGTGATCCTGCGGCTTGTAGCTGTCGGGCGAGGACAGTTCCTCGTCGCTGATCAGACTGCCGTTTCGCTGTCTGTCGCCGCCGGGACTGGACAGGTCAAAGGATTCGTTATTAAGGAAGGATCTCAGTCCGGGAAACGTGTCCTCCTCGAAGGACGTCATCAATTCATCGAACATCGAGTTCGATCGCTTGACGTCCAACTCCGAGGAGGAGACAATCGAGCTGAGACTAAGGCTACTGCCGGACAGGGATGAGTAGTTATTATTTTTCTGATTGAGATTCTGGTCCGACGATTTCTGACCTTCGGCGAACCTGGAACCTTGAACCCTTCTCACGTCGCCCAAGGTCTTCCTGTCGGCACCCGCGTTGATTCTGGGCGCGGAGGAGACCCGGATCGAGCCGGATCGATTGATTAACGGTCTCGTATGTTTGAGCGTTTCTTTGTCGAAGATTTTGCGGGGTACATCGGCGCTGGCGACGACGCCCAGCGCCTTCGATTTATCAATAATGACTCGTCTGCCTAATTCCCTGACGGGTTTCGGGCTATCTACCGTATCTTTGCCCGCGAGTTCGGGCTTCAGGAAGACCTCGCGCGAGATCGAGTTGGTCTCGGTGGAGTCGCTCGAAAAGTTTGACATGAGATCGTCGAATTCAGTGGGTGGCGCTATGAGGGACGACCTCCTGTCGGAGGGAGGATATTTTACAAAGGCAGAGGAGTGCGAGAGGGGATACAGAGTATCGCGAGTCTGTTGGAGTTTGGGACTCCTCGTCATAGACTGATCGCTTGTATCCGACAGCAGGTCGTTCATCTGTTGCTCGGCCAGCAAAAAGGGATCGTAATCCTTGCATGTGCCACTGAAATTAGAATTTGATTAGTATAGCCCTTAAGTCTAACTGTTCACCTGGAACTTTCTTGCACGAACTAACAATGCGAGTATAGCGAACGAACATGGTGCAATATGTAGGATAACAGTATGTTTAATTTGTTTTAAATGTTTTACTGTTTCAGAAGCTGTAGACGTGTAGACATGTAGACGCCAATCAATTTTCTGGACAAACATTTACAAACGCGCATGCAAGCTCGAACATGCGTGGTGCAATGTTATCCAATCTACTTGACTTGCTAGACATACATTATGTTTTTAGAAATTCAGAACCAATCTCTTTTGAGTTAGTTTGACAGGCAGTGAGTCACGGGAAGTAAAAACAATCTCGTAAAAATGAATGGAACATTTTTGTTCTAATTTAAAACGGATTTTATTATATAACACAATCTAAAATCAAGGGTTAATTATTAAGATGTCAAATGTTGGAATTTGAAAAGATATAAAAAAAAGTATAAATTCAGAATATACCTATGTCTTTTTTAATAAAGAAAGATTGATTCTAAATCCCAAAAGACTATTCTCTGTCAATTCTAATAACTTCTTATAGTATCCTGAACTAAACTAAAATATGGATAATTAACAATTAACACCAACAAATAAAATATAAAGTAAAATATCTATTATCCCTCTTCCCACACTGGTTCCACGTCCTGGAACTTACGTTCTAGCCTTAAGTACGAGATTAAAATCTGGCCTTCTGCGTACATAATTGCACCAGGTGGGACGTGTCGCCAGTTCAATTTTCCTACAATATTATTGACACATTAACTACATAAACTATCGTACCGAATATATAAAAGTATAACAATAAGGGAAATAGAAATGAAAAGAAACTACCATTTACAGTGAAATCAATGCGTACGGATTCTCTTGGCAATTGCGATTTGCACAAACTTATTGCATATTACTTATCTATAAAATAACTCATAACCGATTGTGCGAAATCAGCACTTTATACTAATCAAATGTAACATTTTATACTAATTAATTATATCAAAGTTATATGCTCGACTAAATATAAATCTATATAACTTAAGTATTCTAAAGAATAATATTAGAACGTTTCTGAATGGCAATTTCTACTTGTAATACTAATTTCTTCTGTTATCTCTACCTTCGATTGATCGAGAACGGATTCAGGACAGGAGGGAAGATACGAACTCTAGGACTTCTCTTAACAAACTTGTATTCAGCGTGACACGCGGGATAGAGACTAGTTAGTCTGCTCCGCGAGATCTTGGAGGTCCTCTTCCAGTATGATCTCTCAGAATCTTCCCTCGTCTCCGCCGCGTCACCCCTTATATCAGGCAGATCCTTGGACACCTTGCTCCGCCTGCTCGGTCTGATTAACTCAATAGTCTCTCGTTCGTACGCGCAATTCGCTTCAGGTCGTCTGATGTCCGCGAGCTCCACGAATTCGACCGAAGATATCAGAGAATCGGTGCTGCCACGAAGAAGATTCATGTTTTCCCGAATTCTGTGCTTCATTTCGACGGAATTGACCGCTCGCTCTCGCGCAGCCTTTTCAGTCGCGCCGGAAGCGTGTCTTGTAAACTTCATGCTCGCGTTCAGGAAAATTTCGTTACGCCGCGACGCCTCGTCTGCATAATCCGACAATGTGACTGATGACCCTAAATCATAAGCGTCCTGCGCGTTACATTCCTCGCCACGCGCAGTATTATCGCCACCATAATCGAATTCGCCATTGTTCTTCTTGCGCAAACTCTCACCTGGCGTGACTCCCATTTTAATAATTGAACGATCGAGCAGCCTCGACTTATTTTTCGAACAACTGTTTTCTGAATCCGTGTTGAAATCTGCCTCTTCCTCTTTCGTGTTATTCTTGATACTTGGAAAATTATCGGAGCTAAAGCCTTTTTGATATCGTCGGTTACTTTTAATATACTCAGATATGTTATTCATAGGTGCATTTAAATTTTTACTAACGGTACTTTCCAAATTTTGTGGAAGCGAGTATATTTCAGAGTTTAATCTCTTCGCATTTCTCTTAGGCTTTTTATTACAGATATTGGTTAAACCTTTGCAACTTTCTTCACCTATTTCACTTTCTTTAAGATTTCTTCCACAATTTTTTTCCGGGCTAATACTTCGACAGGATGCAGGAGATGATATTTCTTTGGTATTTTCTGTTAAGTTTAATGAATTGCGACAGCTATTGCTTTGGCATGCTAGCATTTCATTTTCAAGACTCGAATTAGCTTCTTTATTGTTATTGTTTAAGGATATTACTTCATTTATGTTAGGTTGATCGCACATAAAAGTTATACTTTCTTTCAATTCAAGTGAACTGTCGCATATATTATTTTGGCACTGTGATTTTTCGTTCTTAAGGTTTTGATAATCTTGACTTTCATTAACACAATTATTTTTCTTCGATTCATTCCACGCAACTGAGTGCATTGCATGAAACGTGGAAGATTTATTCATTCGATCAGATTTGGATAAATTACGCTCAGTTTCTTCGGTATATTTCGTACTTTCATTAATGTTCATATCCATCGCTGCTTCATCTTTCTTGTCTTCATTTTCTTTGTAAACGCTCAGTTCACTGTTTAATTCTACAACATCTACGTCATCCACTTTTTCGGTTTCTTTCGTATCTTCAGCATTTGTTTCTATTTTCTCAGTGTTACATTCTGTAGCTTTAATCTCTCCATAACTCACTCTTTGCTTATTTTCCTCTTCTTTACTATCCGCATCAAGTTCCTCTGTTTTGCATGCTGTCTCTGCGCTACTCATTGTCTGATTATTTTCCACATTTTCATCATTTATTTTCAATTCCTCTACTTTACAGCCCACCACAGTTTCATCATCTTCTTCTTCTTCATCTTTAATAGACACTTTTAACTCTCTTACTTGTTCGATTTGAGTCTCTTCGTCGTCCGTTACAGTTTCTCTTTTCAACTTTGTTTGTTTGAATTCACAGATTTCATCTTCTCTACCTTTGAAATAAAATTTTACACGAGGACTGTGCTTAATTGGCTTCCACTTGCTGTGAAAAATCTCCGGTAGCTCATTGTCCTCCGAGTCTCTTATCAAATATGTCTGATTCAGATTCTGGACATCCAACCATGTGGCGTCATCGTGCCTCGCTTCGTCAATCCCGGCGTTTGTGAATTTGTCGTCGATTCGATTATTTTTTGCACTTGGCGAATCTTCTTTCACTCTACTTTTATTTTCATTTTCTTCCTCTCGATCGCATAGTAGATCGAATAGCTGGAGCTCGCGCGAAAAGTTGCAATCAACAGGAATGGCAGCCTGAATATTATCGTTCTTACGACTGATCTGCTTCCACGTTACTAACTGATCGTCCTTCTGCATGTCCGTGTGCATCCTGCAAGGTTGCACAGTCATTCCTAGGGTCTTATCGTTCACGGCAATATCGTTAATTCTTGGGTGTCCCTGACTTCTGGCGGAAACGATGTTTTTTTGCGTCCTGGCGGAACAGGCTTCTCGAGTTCTCGTATCGTCGCTTTGAATGCGTTGGGTAATCGCTTTGTTCCTATCGAATTGTTTCATGGGCGAGGCAACTGGCGACGTGATCTCGTTAGAAGAGACCGGACTGTTGATTCTAGGCCTCGCAGGAGATACGGAAAAGTGGAGGGAACGACGGGAAGATATCGCAGGGTGGAAGGATCGGCAGGGCGTTGATGTCAGTAGGGAGTCGTGCTCTTCCTCTGGCCTGAGGAGACGGAAGCAGGATCAAGGACATGTGCCTGATCGTCATCAGGAGAAGGTTGTCGGTTAAGTTTTACAATTTTACAATAGAAACAATTCCGTTAGGAAGTATTTAAGAAATGTGTACTTATGCTTTTTATCAAATATTTCAAGTATTCTTGTTGTAAAATCGAATTGAATATTTTTGAGCATTGTAAAATCCATTTGTATATTTATATTTTTGTGCGTTTTAATTGTCTCGATTACTTTCAATGGCAATTCATCAATAGAATGCCTCTAAGCAGCCTCGTCCTCTTTCCTTCTCCTCATGGGCGGCACCAAATATAGGATCTATTCTATGTTCTACGCTTATTTATCTTATACAAGCCACAGAATTTCAGTTTGTTCAATACGTTTTAAAAAGGCTGATCAAAATCTCACCTGTTCATACGATCAGCAAGACGCGACTTCATAGGCCCGGATGAGGTAGGAGAGTCCTTGAGTTGTCCAGGACGTCTCCTGTAAAAGTATAAGTATGCCATAAAATAATCGGACGCCAAGTCTAATAAACCATCAGAAAATATTTGAGCAATCGTATACATAGCAATCGTAAGTTTCTGTCTTTCCTATAGGAAATACTTTTCCTAAGATAATAAATTGAGAATGAATTAAAAATATGCAATTTAACAATTCTCACGTCTCTTAAAATTTCTGAGCCACTGAAAAATTCCCGTAGTTTTTACTTTTATTATACTATATTTTTATCGAACAATCGTTATAAGTCTTCGCTCTTCTACGCGCAAGAAACTTCAATCTGTTAATGAGAGAAGCTTGAAAATCTGACTTACACGACGGTAAGTTTCTGCTTGGCAGGACTCTCTCGATTGGAACTAACGCTCGAGATACTCTCCTTCGGTTTCACGAGCGCCGGTGACGACGCTGACGTTTTGGCAGCTGCCGAACCCGGGCTGTACTTCTCACGATTGATGGCCCGCCGGTTCTTCAGGGTTGGTGCCCTGTACCTCATGCGGGCCTCCAATCGTTCCTTCGCGAGATTGGTCGCCGGACTCATCGGCAGCCGGGTGACTCTGTCTTTGCACCAAGCCACGTGGCGGTCGTAGGCTTTGATGCCGAACTGCCGATTGCACGTAGGGCACGTGCCCTTCTCGTTGGCGCGTGTCGGCGCGCCCGACGAGATCAGCGAGTTGCATTGTATGTGCGAGTCCATCTGCAGGAATACATTGCGGACACGTAGAAATTCACTTATGACTAAAAGATACAAAAGATATTTTATCGAAAATTAGAGACTAATATCTTATTTTGAATGTGTGAGAATTACTCTTTCTTTTCATGATCTTACGCAACCCATTCAAAATGATTTAATGCAAAATTCAATTTGAGAAAGAACGAATTCTCCCTGAAGCACAATGGACGCGCCAGGAGGAGACGTAAAGGGACTCACGACTTCGCCGCGTGCCTCACGGATCGTCCGCAGGAAGTCGTCGTGGGTTTTCTTCCAGGAAGACCTGACCCTCTCGTCCAGGTGATGTCGCCGGACCTCCTGCTTAGGCAGGAACTCGGCCAGCTCGGTGCCCTGGATCCTCTGCTTAGCCGAGTCGAAGGGCTTGCGTTTCTTGGTGGCGGCGCGCTCGCATATCCTCGTGTGCTTCTCCAGCGACTGCGGCATGAAGGTCCGCGCGCAAATCGCGCACGGCAGCAAGATCGGCGGCAGCGCATCTGCGTCCATTTACACGGTCCAACAATTAGTGGGCCCCCGCAATTTAAACGGCGTAATAATAGTAGATGTTCTATATACGTATAGATTTGCTTTTTCCCCCTCTCTTTCTCTAGGAGCAAGACCACCAGCTCTGATCTCCGGTCGCCGGCGTCTGCGTCTACGCGTCTGTCAGCCGAGATCGCTTGATCTCTCCGCGATTCAAACCCGTCGCGTTTCTGAGACACGAGAGCACGCAACGCTCTTTCTTCTCGTAGAATTAAATAAACACTACTCCCATTTTCTTTTCTCTGACGTTCCATATACGCGACACCGCGGCATCTAACACGGAGATCGCCGGCGCGCTAATACGGAGATCCGATCTGACTCATCCCGTGCTAATCGCTATTCGCTCTGACAAAGGCCACGAATCCGCGGATAATCGATATTTTCGCCGACAACACGTCGAGAGATCGCCAAATACGACGATACTACGTCACGTAACGAAACGTGCTCGTCATCGCAGCCCGTCTCTCTCCCCCAGGTCGATCAAAGTCGGTCTAATTTAAAATCCAACACATTCGATCGTTTTATTTTTCATTTTTTAAAGTAAATTAAACGTATTCTGCACCGATTTCCTTTTACTATACACTGTAAAAAAATTACATGTAAAATTACAATTATTATAGCGCACTGGGAAAAAAAATTGTTGATATGACTAAATATGTTTAGTTAACGGTATTTCTTTAATTCAAATAAACATACGTAATTTATTCAAATAGGTATATTTTTAATTAACAAACGTTTGCGTGAATTAACAAATGTTTGTTTGACAGCCCGTGACTGCAGCATATAGTTGAATCAGGAAATATTTTCTTGGCGCAACAGTTTCTTTTCCACAGTGTGGGCAATATTGGGACCATCTAGGCTGCGTTCGGAAACACCACCCGGGTACCTCAGTGGATCATTTTATCCTTGTTACTCGCCGAATATTAAATAAGGATAAAATGATACACGGGGACACCCGGGTGATGTTTCCGAACGCAGCTCTATTAAAGGTGTATATTTGCACACGTCAGTAAATTTACACCTTGCAGGTAAAATTATTACCTTATATAATAAGTAAACTGCTTGCTTTTAATTGTGTAAATTTTGTAATTTTTTGTAATTTTTCATCCTGTATAAACAAGTATTTACACAACAAAGAGTGAAAACATTTTTGTTGTAAAAGTACATGAATTTATATATTTCCGCTATTAATAGTGTAATCGCTACACTTGTTATGTATGTAATTTTACGTAACTTTTTTTACAGTGTACGTCTTCTATATAACGTACCCTTTTTATTATAGAGGTATGTTACGTATGTTTCCATCGAGTTTTAGGTTTTAAAACGAATATCTCCTTGAAATATGATATACTCTACAAAGATTCTCTTTCGCTACACGTTCTACACGTGGTGCGTATTTGTTATGCGCGTGATCTCCAGTCGATAATCTCGTTTCTTCCCGCGAGGAAAAAAAACCGCGCGATCTCGGAAACGCCGCGCGGCGACGCAACAACACGCCGCGATTGGAAGTGTCGGGAATCTAAATTGCAAATTGCACTTTCTTCGATCGCCGCGGCTATTGCGCAACGACTAGCTACAGTGTTCTCTTCTTGCGAGATCACTTCGAGAGTGCCCCAGTTATTACGAGCTGTGCGCTACGAGATAACGTCCGCCGTTCAACGAGCCATTCCTTTTTGAAGACGTCGCGAAAATCCTGCGTTTTCTATCCTACGGAAATGTCGACGACGCGAGCGAATCGATTCTTGCGGTATTTACGGTAATTGCGTCACCAAACGAAAGCGACGAATCCAGTTTTCTAACGCGTGTGCGTGTACGCGAAATTGCAGAAAATAAATAAATTTTAAAAATAAATAAATCCTCCACGCATGTATGTATACATATATGAAGCTTTATTTACTTTCATTGGGCTCCCATATCTCCATATCCGATAAAGAATCTATTTTATCATTGTTGTTTTTTTAACAAGAAGAAGAATATCCGGGAACTCTCTTCGCTCTTCCTGTTAACCCTTTGAAGCATGGCGGTGACCTGACGTTACCACCTCAACTTCTTTACTTTTTGGCCATTTAATTTCTAGTTAACACACGTAGGTCGGCTTTTTTGCATTTTTGGGGTATCTTAGCGATGAAAGAACATAAAAAAAGTTGAGTAGTCTTTAGTATTTATTGTAAAAGTTTTATAAATAAAAAAATATGAAAAAAACAGCAATTTTTTTCGGAAGAATTAATTATTGACCAAGTTTTTTTAAGACTATTTCTTGAAAACTGTGTACAAAGGGGTTTTCGCGGACGCTTATTACGAAGCTGATGTCAGATTTTCAAAATTCGAAATGGCCGACCCACAATGGCGGATGCTTTTCAGCATTTTCGTTTGGTTACGGTACTTAATTAGGGACTCATCACGTCCGCGTCGTTAGCTCTGGGTAGTGCCAAGAATGAGTAAATTCTAAGAAATTATCAAATTTCAAGTTTGCATCCATTTCGCGCGCGCCCTATTTTTTATATTCTATAAGAATTTTCAACCGGAATTTAGATTCCACGGGTCCTAATAATATCTAAATAATCTTTCTTAGCATAGTTGAATTACGGTTGAATGATGTTATTCTTTTAAGTTTTGCATTCCGCCATCTTGAATCCGCCATTTTTAATCAAAATCTGATAACGGATTCGTAATCAGCGACTCCAAAAACCCTGGCATACAAAGTTTCACCAAAAAAAAAGAACGGTTCAATAGAAAAATGTATGCTTTAAAGGGTTTAATTCACCAAGCAAGTTCGCACAAAACTCTCGCGCGTTCGAGGCGAGCGGTAAATTCGAAACGATCGAATCCGCCGACGCGGGACGGCGCGGGTACTTCTGCGATTCCACAGGTGATTTTAATCGCGCACTCGTTAAGTCTCGCGCGACTCCCATCCGATCGGATCTCGCGTCCAGGGAGACTCTCGCTTTCTCGGCTCCCGGGTAGCGTCAAGCGAGCGATTCTCAGGTGCGCGCGTGGCACCTGCGGCGCCGACTCGCGCGACGAGGACGCCGAGGACGACGAAGAGGCCGAGGGGATCGCCCCCGCGAGGCACGGCTCTCTCGCCTCTCTCGCGCGAGCAAGCTTCCTTTTTAAGGCGTCATCGCGAGCCGCCTCGCCGCGCGAGTCACGCGTGTCCCCTATCCGTCACAAACACACGCGAGAGCGTCCCGTTCCTTCCGTCCTCGGATCTTTTCTTCCCTTTGCCGCGCCCCTCCTCCTACCAGCGAGCGAGGAGACGGTTTCGTCACCGAGCTTTTCCCGTCTCGTTCACTTTTCTCGCGGGCTCGTACGCCGATCGTTTGATCGAGGACCCGAAATTCGTATCGCCGCGCCTCTCCGATGTTCGCTGCGAAACGGGACCGGCCGCGTCTTTTAGCTAAATGCGCCGCGAGAATGCGGTCGTCCGCCGTATCTGCCTCCGTCCGCGACGCAAGTTTCATGTTGTTATTTAACTGTGCGATCGCATTATTATTCGCGACGCGTGTACAATTTTTGTATCTCGCATGCCGTTACATCGGTCATTCCGTTCGTACCGATCTCTTCGCGGTTTTCTATTTTCTGTAAATCCTCCCAATCCGCTATCGATATTTTTGCCACATATTTTTCCACCTGGGTACCTATCATGGAAATGTTCGGGACGGAATTATTCCGTTTCCTCTAGAAAACACAATAGAAATTTAGGAAATAATTGAACAATTCCGATCGGAATCAATTCCGAACAGTTCCAAGACAGGTGTCCTGGGTGCCTATCATGGAAATGTTCGGAATGGAATTATTCCGTTTCCTCTAAAAAACACAATAGAAATGTAGGAAATAATTGAACAATTCCGAACAGTTCCAAGATAGGTATCCTGGGTGCCTATCATGGAAATGTTCGGAATGGAATTATTCCGTTTCCCCTAGAAAACACAATAGAAATCTAGGAAATAATTGAACAATTCCGAACAGTTCCAAGACAGGTATCCTGGGTGCCTATCATGGAAATGTACGGAATGGAATTATTCCGCTTCCCCTAGAAAATACGATAGAAATGTAGGAAATAATTGAACAATTTCGATTGGAATCAATTCCGATATTTCCTATATTTCTATTGTTTTCTAGGGAAAACGGAATAATTTCGATCGGAATCCATTCCGTTTTCCCTGGAAAACAATATAAATCTAGGAAATAATTGAACAATTTCTATCGGAATCAATTCCGAACATTTTCATGACAGGTACCCAGACCTCCGAGTGGAGACAGCAAGGTATCTTCGGCAATTCCTCAGGCAGCGCGACGCTATTAAATGATCTCATTAAGTCGCTTAGCGACGCCTACAAACGTTGCTCGCGCATGTTGAAAAGAAGCGGCGAAGGTTTTTTTTCTCTTCTACGTCAGAGCTATTGCCGTTCTTCTCTCGTCGCGTCTCGTCTAAGGTCAACGGGAGTCTTAATGCAACCGCTAAGTTGATGCAAATTGATCAATACGGCGGAGGCGCGTTATTGCGATTCTTATAGCCGCTTTTAGACGTGTGTGAGTGGCAGTAAAATAAATATTTTCACCGACACCGAACGCGAAATAACAAGGAGATCCTTCAGAGTTGAATAGCGAGGCGATAATGATTAATGATGATGAGTGCGCAGCTACTGAAGCTATTCTGTTAATTCTAAGCTTACAAATTGCAATTTATTCAAAGAGACAAGTAGACCAGCGACAAGAAAACGTTCGAAACTGTTACAGCAAATTTTTATATTAAAAAAAAATAAAATTTTTGAAAACGACTTCCAATCGTGTGGCGAAAGCAACGCTCTATAAGTGAAGCTACGTTAGCTTTATTTTGATTTGGAAAATGAGTTTGGATATCAGTTTCTATCTACTCGTTGTTAAATATAAATAAACATTTACAACGTTCTCCAAATAAGTAACGTCCGATATCAGCAGCGGTAGCTGTTAATTCTGAAAACTTGGAGCCACGTAATTTTTACAGAACATCTCGACGTTAAAACTTATAACAATTCGATATCTAACATTCTTTCAAATCACACGAATCGGACTTATCGCGAGACACACTTGGTGAGATTAAATAACGAAGCCGAAGCCATCTAAGCACACCGAGCACATTCTAATCCCCGACGGCCGGGCCGATTCGTTCGAAAGGCTCGAACACTCGCGCGAACAACATCCGATAGCCCGACAATTCGAGGAACGAGAGGATACGGTGGGGGTCGCGGGCTCACCTTCCTCGGGAAACTCGATCTGTATCTCGCGGATGGATGACAGACGATTGCTATCGCGCCCGTCGCGCAACGAGATCCCGCCGTAGAACGGGGCCTCGTCGTAGAACGGGCCCCCGCCCGCGAGTCTCTTCGGGACGCAGCACAGCATCTGATTGCGAGCGCATCAAGACACCGACTGCCGGGGACCGCGGAGACCGCGCGCGAGGCCCGGGGCCGGCTCTTGTAAGAGCGGCGCTCTTACAATCGTTGTAACCGCGGGTGTAGTTCGCGACGGAAGAGTTTATTTTCGGCCCCGACTCGCCGTCTCACAGAGCGAGACCCGCTCCTACTCTCGCCTCTTTCTTCGGCCCACCTTGGCCGCCCTGAGCGGCGCCAAGTGGGGACCGCGAGAAAAGTGAAATATTCGATGGTCCCCGTCTTCCCTCCGAAAGACGGAAAATCAAACGCTGCTAAAATTAGCCTCACGTGACTCCGATCTCCACTCACGCTATATAAAAGATATTGTCTCCCATCGAACGTTTTGTTATCGCCGCGGTCGCGTTAATAAGTTTAATTGCTATTAAACGCGATTGAAATTGAAAACAAGAATTATTTAGACGTTTAACATCCTGCCACGGCTCTTTTGGTCCCTACTCCTTCGAAGTTAGGTTCGTCATACGAGAGCCTTACCCAGTGAGAAATGATTCGTCGATCGACGTCGAAACGACGTCGAATCGACATCGACACCGTCGAATTGACATCATTTCGACGTCGATCGACGAATCATTTCTCACTGGGTATAAACTTAATTAATTTGCAACGTCGGTGTTCTCTCCTTGACCGTATCTGGCATTTTTGATAATACAGAAAATTTATTGCGAAAACTATTACCTCAGCCAGGGTTTGAACCTGGACCTCCCTGCACCCTAGGCGGGCGTCTCACCAATTCGACCACTGAGGCACGTGGTAATATTTGTCGCAATTTTCTGTATTACTAAAAATGCCCGATATGGTCAAGAAAACACCGACGTTGTTAATTACTGCTGGCGACATTGAAGAATAGTCTTATTAGTTTATTAGTTTGTTCATTATTATTGTACAAAAAATGCGAATTGCTCCACTTCGTCAGCTGCCGGCGCGAGAATAAGCGCTTCGAAACACGGGTGACAACTTAACTTGAACTTTAACAATTATTCCTTTCTCTCTGTACAAGAACTCAGTTTTCCTCGGGACATAACGTTACTTCTCCCTTCCATAACTACGTCGGTAACCACAACAAACTGTTTACTCTACGTGCAGTAATCAACGCGAGGCAACGAACAAATTGCATTGTTACAAAGAGAACACGGAGGAAGTGTTTATCAAGCCTGGTTTACTTTTTAAGCGGCAATCGAAATAGACTTTGACAAAAGGGAGCAGTCCGAGATATCGACGCGATAAACGCTGTTAAGGCCACAAGCGAGTATCTAAATATCTACCACGTGCATCTCCCTCGCGCCCGTGCCACGAGCACTCACAAAACCCGTGTTAAAGCCGCTCCCGATTACGAAATAGAGGTCGACAGCTTCTCCACCGTCGCGGTTCCCCGCGATATTTCTCGCGACTGTGCAGCGGTGGCCGCGGTTATCCCTATAATTAGAATGGACGGGGCGACCGTGCGGAGCGGGCGCGGTCCGAAGAACCGGAAGCGGACCGCGACGACGGTGAGGAAGAGACGGTGACGGGAAGAGCCGCGGAGAAAGCGGGACCAGTTCAGGGATCTCTCGGCTTTGTTCGCCGCTCGCGTTCGTCGTAAATATACACGCGCGACAATGCACACTCGCACCTACTTACCCTCAACCTCGGCCATGTTCGTCGTTAAGGGAAAACACTGGTTGTTATGGGAACGTTCCCTCCTCGAGGCGGGGCTCGCGGTGCGCCTTTCTCGAAACCCTCTCGCAATATTTTCCAATTTAAATCTAGCGCGTAAAAGGAACTCTCCGCGAGTTCCTCTGCGTAAGACTAAAAAAGAAAGGAAGCTTCGGAATTTAGCTGCGAAATACAAATTGTTTAAGTATATTGAAAAATTATGCTTTTGAAATTAAAAAATTGAACTCGCTGAAAAGATCTAGATCGTGAATATTTTATGTGAATATTTTTTTTTTATAAAAAAAAGAAATATTCATATTGTCCTAGTATAATTTTATCATGATACATGTTAACTTTAATTCTAAAGTGTGTGGAATTTACGGAGGATAAATTAACAGTTTTCTTTTTAATATTTTATGAAATTTTGTCTTTCCCTTTCTTCTTTCTTCTCGTTCGGAAAAAAGTTGGCCTGCCCATTTAGGAACACGCTCTTGAAATATTGGATTTTGACGGTCGTTTAAAGAGATCTGTTTACAGCCCGAGAACGCGTCAGCTGATCGCCAGTCGCCACGCATGCGTCGAACATATGCAGACGCACATGTGCAGAGAGTGATTTTGATCAAACCCCAATTAACCTAATCTACAATTAATTCACCTGGCACAAATGCTTGTTGCAAAATATTTAGCTTTAAATCCTGTTAATTCTCTGATCTAATTCTTCTTTTTATGTATTAATAGTCAAAGGTTAAATAATGTTCAATTTTTTTATACCTTCTCTATTTAACATTTAAATGTGTGCATTTTGTTTCAGCCGCAAAAAGTACTAAACAATACGACCCACATAGCACGTAATATTACTGAGATGTATCACGTAATATTACTGCAATATTATAATATTATTGATATATTACGTAATATTATGTGCTATGTGGGGAATAAAACAAATTTCTTGAGGAATCTCTCGATCGAGATTTATGATGCATTTCCTATGAAATTATATTATAATAAATGTTTCATAATTGGTATTTTCAAAGGCATGATATAACAGTCAATTTTATTGCATCATTTTGTTGTTGAAATTTCTTGTAACATTCTAATTAGGAAAGCTCGTTGCTAATCTCGAGATTGAGCAAATCTTTACTGTTTTTACCATTCGTTGTTTTATCTATAACACAAACTTCAATTTCGAAAGAGTTTCCTGCTTCGAAATTTCGCGGGCTTTGACGACAGTTTTATCATATCGCGTTACGGCGCGACAGCTAACCTTCCCCTACGATAAACGTTGTTTATTATGCCTTGGGATCAAGTCCCGCGTCAGTACAGGTCGAGTTCGAAGTATGCGATACACCTCGCGCCTAACCTATATTTCTTATCTAGAATCTTATATGAGTGCAGCTTCGCGGTGAAATGATGATTATCTCGAGGTTTGTGATAAGAAATGGATCCGCTGTTTCTCAGGTACTTCATGTTGTACTTATGTGTTCAATTTAGAAAAAGCTGTACAATTATATAATGTCTACGTGCGACTACATCATTGTTCACATGTGTGCATGTCACGTATATCACAGAGCTATTCTATTCGCGCTCTTACTGCTCGACGCTGATTGGCTCGTGAAAGTAAAGGACGAATCGCGGGAGCATTTCAAACGACGCGCGAAAATTCGATTTCTCATCGTCCAATTTCGTGATGTCATCGATAGCTATTAATTTAAATTGTTGATCCATATTTGTTCCACGTTGCAGGGGAGACATATCGTAAGGACATTATCCACCGAGAAGAAATATGTGGAGACGACCGACAGAAACGGGGTAGAAATATCATTTAGTTTTATACTTCTTATAATTATAGTTTTTATAAATATATAAGAAGTTCTTCTTATAATTATGAAATAATAACAATATAAATACGTGTGACTAGAAGCGGTTTTTTCATTCTATTTAACTCTGCCGACTATTATATTATCGAATTTGTAATAAAAAGCTAAAGACCCAAAATTTTAACAATCAGCATTGCAAGAATTATCTACGATGTTTGCTCATGTACAATTTTACAACAATATATTATTGTTAAATTGTGCAAATTTACAATCCCAGTTTTACTGGCAATTACACGTACGATCCAAATACACAGTAACTCTTTTGTTTTGAGAAAGAGAGGGAGGGAGAGAGACGTTTATTGGCGCCCTGGGTCAAGTCCCCTAAAGCGCAGAAGCAAGAACACAAAAGAGTTACAAAGATAGTGTAAATCGCGCTGATATAAGAAAAATAAAAATAAAAGGGAAGATAAAAATAAAAGAGTAACAGAAAAGAATGTAAGAGAAAAGTTTCGATAATACATAAGTGAGGTATAGATAATAAAAAAGACGCACATTAAATTACAAAGTTAGTTAATGCACATACAGTACCCAGAATATAAACATAGAAAGCGAAGAAAAACAGGCGGATAAAAAGCAAGCAAGGCAGCAAGGAGAGCACCGATGAGTAAAGGCGCGAGAGAGAGAGAGAGAGAGAGAGAGAGAGAGAGAGAGAGAGAGAGAGAGAGAGAGAGAGAGAGAGAGAGAGAGAGAGATATTATCGTGTTTTTGCCACCCTTGAAACTAATTAACTTGGCTTCACCAGGTCAGAACTATTCGTTTGAGCGACTCATCTTCGCGCAACTCCTTATCGTTGGAGATGCTGAAAGTCCTGGTGCGAGAGATCAAGAGGGATGAGGACAACAAGGATCTCCGGTCAATCGTGCTAATGTCCGAACCAGGGAAGGTGTTCTCCGCCGGGCACAATTTGAAGGAACTGGTTCGTTTGGTCTTATACTGTGTTTTTTACAAAAGCTCCCTTTTGTGCTCGTCGCAGAAAAAAGTATCATCGGCTTGCAACGTTTAGACGGCCGCGAACGCCAAGCTCCACAGGGACGTGTTCGAGGTCTGTTCGGAGCTGATGCGGGCCATCAGTCAAAGCCCGGTGCCGGTGATTGCGGCGGTGGACGGTTTGGCAGCCGCAGCCGGCTGTCAATTGGTCGCGGCCTGCGACATCGCGGTGTGCACGGAAAGAAGTTCGTTCTCCACTCCGGGGTACTCTCGCCAAACTCTTACTCTTCGTCATTTAATTACCATTTTAGTGATATCTCATGTCTACTATTAATTATTATTTCTAAACAGCACTAACGAATGCCGTTGATTGTTAATTATTTTCTAATCAATGCTTCGTCGCAGAGCGAATCTCGGGATATTTTGCTCGACGCCAGGTATACCACTGGTGCGCAATGTGCCAAGGAAGAGCGCGATGTACATGCTTTTCACGGGATTCTCCATTTCCGGAAGAGAAGCTTACGAGTGCGGTCTCGTTAGCAAAGTCGTGGCGAACGATAAGCTCGGTGAGTCGCAAAATAATTGAAAAGTCGTGAGAAAAATAGTATATAAAAATTAATTAAACTGAAGAATAGTAAACTGATTCTAAATTAATTATATTTAAAAGTTATTTAGAAATATAAAGAGATAAAAAAGAAGTATCTTCCTTTTCCTTATCATTTTCTTGTAAAAGTTAATGGGGAAATTATGTCCTACAATTATATATTAGTATAATATGTACTAGAATAGAGACGAACACATGGAGCACATTGGATCAGTTTTTCCAGTGACCACGTCTCAATAATTTTTGGCATTTATGAACTTTTTATTTTTACTAGTTTATTATTTAAAGTAACACATTTTAGAGTTAAAAACAAATATCTAAATTATTTTATTCTCTACACGTATCTTTTTTAAACTATATCGATTGATCCATTGTACTCCCAGCGTGGATCGCAATGGTTCAGTAAAACTGTTAAATCACATTAGATACACGAAAAGAATAGAAAAATACAAAATGAAAATGCAATATCGAAAAAAGTTCGCTACTTCGTTCTTACATACAATTAGTTTACCACAGGATTTCTGTCACACGTCTACTGGTATCCGTACGCACCTATCCCTACGACAAGTAGCGACACGAACCATAATCTATGTTAAAAAAGTGACATCTCTATATAGAATTAATATTAGCGCAATTAAAACCAACGATCCACAGTTGAGTGACTGTGCCCCAAGTTTCCTTCTATATTAGATAATATATATAAAATAAAAATATTAATATTATTATCTAATAGCATAATAGTATACGTAACGGTACACGTTTACATAATTAATTTTGCAGATGTATAATTATTTTTATAATTGCGTTTAACTTCGATTTCAGACGAAGAAGTTCGTCGAACTACAGACGCAATCAACACAAAAAGCCGCTCGGTCATGCATATCGGTAAAACATTTCTGTACGAGCAAATGACTTTTGATATATCGAAAGCATATGCTCTGGGCACCGAGAAAATGGTAAACAATTTAAAAATGAAAGACGCGCAGGAAGGAATACAAAGTTTCTTGGAAAAGAGAAAGCCCAATTGGTCCCATAACTATGAGAATAATTAATTATATGTACGAAATATTTTTTATACGTGAAGCTTTTTACAATTAATATTTGTAAAATACTTTTTGTTTGTGTGTAATTTCAACAAAATTGAATAAAAAAATTTATTTTGCATGAAATTTATATTCCTTTAAAAGAGCGACGTCCAACATTTCATTCACTAATTACGTAGAAAATTAAAAACAGCATTATAGGAGCAAAGTTCAAGTGAGATATTACCCTATTATCGTTACAAAAATTAATTTTAAAAATCATTGAAAAATTGTTTAAATTTTTAGGAACCTTCTGAGTTAAAAACTTCTGTGCGTTTAATGTAGAAAATTGCAATATTTGCATCAAATAATCTAAATTTTCAAAACATTTTGATATAATTATTTATAAATTTCTAAACATCGCGAAATATTTCGAAGTAAGATCTGCTCTATTTTAAAAAAGAATCCGAAATTTAGCAATAATTTTCACTGCAGGTCTCAACCAGCGTTGTTGTTTAGAGCTCGCTTTACAAATCTTTATTGCGAGGAGAATTACGCGAGGAAAATTACGAGGAAAATTTGATGATTTAGCATTAAAACAATAAATATAATATCGTTACTACTAGAAAAATTATACTCGTGTAATAAAAACGCGGGACAAGCAAAGTTCGTGAGATAAATCCAGGGAAAGAAAATATATACATATGTTTTTCCTCACATTACATTTAGTAAACAAGCTAGATACGATTATAAAATTTACCAAAGTACTTATAATGCCAATCAGTAAAAATATTAATTAAAATTGATGTAAAATTAGTAGCTCAATTATGTGGGTGAAACTTTTGTCAAAAGGAAAGGTTTGTCTCCTATGATATATAAAAAGTAAATAAATCAAGGGGAGATTTATACCCAGAGAAAAGATTCTTTGAAATCAAACAAATTTTCTTTGAATTTTGACCTTACTGTGCTTTTCATTTAATTTCAAAGAAATGATCTCTTTGCAAGACTGAAATTTCTAAAAAAGTTCATATCTATTTTTCAAATCTAGCAAAAGTTTTAGTAGAAGTGGTTTTAACGTATCTCATTTATTTAACCTAAATAAATATTTTTTCTGGGTGTACTATTTAATCTATTGAGAGACAACTTATGTCCATTTCTTCAAATGAGTAACTATATTTTCAGATATCTTTTCTGATGTTTGAAACTAGAAAAAGATGAAAAATAATTTACACCGAGATTAAAATTAAATTACATTTGTAGAAATGGACATAAGAATTTTAATATACCAATAAGTCCAATAACAATTTCTGTGCTCGTAATGTAATGATTTAGTAATGGTAAATAAACGCTCCTCTTGATTGGTAAAAATAACATGTTAGAAGTCAATTTCATGGAGGAGATAACGCGTTAAAATACAAAACAATATTAATTAGCACAAATGTTTGTGTTACATTTATGTTAATTTATATCGTATCTAGTTAGAAATAATGTGTCAAATCGACGTCATCTTCGACCTCGTTTGATTGAGTATACGAGAATATTTCTATAAGATTCCTATCTTTCCTATCAATTTTACGCCGACGCATCAATGTTGATTTGAACAATCATTTCTGTTTGAATAGTTTCCTTGATCTTTTCTTTAGAAATCTAAAGCCTATAATTATCTAAACTTGACCTTATGTGCTTTAAGTAAAAATTGCAATATCGCGAAATGTATGCATGTGTTAAATAGCATTCACTAAAAGTCAGAAATAGCATATGGTATATATTGATTACTTAATTATCTACTTTTCCTATTGCTAAAAAATTGCATTATCTTTAAAGCACTTTTCTATATTTTGTAAAATTGTTCATTTAAAAATAAGTTAGGTGACTAAAAAGAGAACTCATTATCATCAAGTTTCAACTTTTGCCAAATTCTATATTTACCGGACTTGTCCTATCAAGTGCGAATTCATTGGAGTATATCAATCGGAAGAGTATCGATTTGTGCAAAAAATATATTTATCACAGGGCTCGCCCGAAATTATTCACTCGATTTGAACGCTAAATGATACCAGAGCACATTCAAAACGCCGTTGCTTACGTGCATCATTGATGCAACTGCCCTATTTATGATAACCGACAAAGGAACTGTTGGAGAAACATTTATCAAAAGGAAAGGAACGCGGCGGACGTTCGCCGCAAGATTCGCAATGGTAAAAAGCAACGTCGCTCGTTCCTGGTCTCGTTTTGATAAATTTGTTTGTTGCGATAACGCCTTGCCCTCCTTCGCAAGAAATCTTCGTTTGTGGTCCCTACGTTAGGCAGATACGAAAGATGACGTCGCGATTTTCAGCGCTCCGTCTGATAAACGATCAGCTAACAATCGTTCCCGACTGGTATTCCGACTCGGTCGTGATAAGAAGCGTAAGTTAATTCTACGTTTGGTATCGAAACACGAGTGGAGGCGCGTCGATGAAATATCTTTTTTCTTCTACGGTATCACTCGGACGTGTTTACGTTTTTAAACTCTCCTATCGTCGTACTCGTCTCGTTAGACGAGTCAGACTGCGACACCGGGTTCTCGTTCACTGAAGGCGATAAGACCGGGTCCGCGGTGGTCGAATAACGTCAGAACGAGAAGCCGAAGTCTCTCGAAGGCCGCCGATACGCTCTTCTTATTACGGCAAGTAAAACAAAAAACACTAGGCATCTCTCTTTCTCCGTCCGTCCCGGTCCCGCTATCTTCCTCGATTTTTCCTCGACCGAGCTTATAAGCGACGACCGCCGTCGCGCCGGGTGCCAGTAATCACTTTGGATTATTCTGCAGCAGATTGCCCGAAGCTGAAAAGAAGAGACGTGCACGCACGAGTCGCAGATCGCAAACAAATAGCGATTCTCCCTTGGTTGATGAATCTTTCCGAGGCCACCATCGTTGACGGCTGCCCGAGGCTCGAGGTTTCCCGGAGGATCGAATTTCGAAGGGCAGGTCGGGACAGGAAGAGAGGAAACACGCCGACGGCGAGCCTGGCAGCGCGAAGACGATTCACGAGAAAGCAGATAACGGAATTGCTATTCGAGAGTTGCATTGGTCAGTTGGATTTGGCGAAAAACTTGGATAACATTCACGTGCAACGAGAGCGCAGTTTTAAGTCCGGTTTCACCAACGTCGCTTAACTTTCAGCTCAGCTTAATTCATCCATTTGGAATTGAAATTGAGATTAGATTGCAGTTTGACCCATCGGAGTAAAGAATCTCAAGTTTAGTGACCTTTACTCTGAGCAAATTTCAATCTAACCCTCTCAATCTCAATCCGTAGTCTGATACGGGCTTTAGAAATTGAGAAAAATGAATAATCTAAGATTAAAACTACACGACGTTGGTGAAATCGTCGCACGGGTCAGCTCGTTTTGGCGGATTTAAAATTGAATAAGATGCTCACTTAGACCTCGGGAAACGAAAGGGAGAACAAACGAAGCGCATAGATAATCAAGATATGATAAATTATCATGTCGACTGGACGCGATTCCGATTCGCTATTCCTGCACGAAACGGAAACATGCTTTGGCATGTTGTAATGGCGCAGTAATTATCGTTACGAGCGAAGATCGAAGCTGTTAAAAAAAAAACGACATGAAAGGCATGATAGTGGGACATAAATAACTATGTATAGAAACATCGTAATGCATGTACATACATTACACATGCACGTACACATACACATTAATCGCATTGTTGTTGTTTTGATTCGTCACATGACTATGTCGAGATATATTTCCCCCTTTTGCGGCAATAGTTATTAATAACTACAAAATTAAGTAACTTTCTCTCTTGAAACTATGTATTAGGTATTTCTTAATAGCAAAGTAATTATTGCATACTCTCTAAAGTTTTTGGGAGTGAAAATAGAACCATAAAGTAAAATATTCGCTCTATCGGAGCAAATATTTACTCTATTAGAGTAAATAACCAAAAACTTTAGAGAGTATACAATAATTACAGTGCATACTTTGCTATTAAGAAATATTCACACTATTAGAGCAAATATTTACTCTATTAGAGTAAATATAACCATGCAGTAAAATATTCGCTCTATCGGAGCAAATATTTGCTCCAATAGGGTAAATATTTCACTCCAAAACTTTAAAGAGTACCACAGACAAACGTATATTCGTTGTAGACACAAGAATTTAATCGATAAAATTCAAATCATTCGATTTATCAGTTAATTTTAAATTGAATTACTACATGTACAAGTTATTAATTGCTGTGGAATCTGGATTTGTATAAAAGGACTATTAAATCTTTTTATAATAAATTATATATATTGATATTTGTATAAGAGGACTACTCAAACTTTTTATAATAAAATTATATATGTTGATATTTATATTTTGTAGACTGTGGAAAAATGTCTACCATTCCGCAGGGCGCTTTCGCAGTGTGGAAAGTTCGCTCTAACAACGAACACATCGTCTCTATGTCTGCGATGGAGAAAAAGGAGAATACTGAAGAGAAGAAGGAAAATATATTCAATTCGAGGCCTCCGCTGGAAGGTAATATATCGCCTCTGCACGAGAAAAGTGACACAAGTATAACAAAAAATAGCAAGTTTACAGAAGAATTTACGATTTTAAACCTTCAATCTGATCACAGATTGTACACAGTTACCCTTACGGAAAAAACACTCAAATTATGAGTGTTAACACTCAAGACTCGAGTGTTTTTTACGTAAGGGTACAACCACACGGTCTGCTTAATTGTTTATAACGTTTTTTTTTCTTGATAGGTCTTTCTTCTTAATGTAAGAATCGTATTTTTCTTTTTAAATTTCTCTTTACCGTCACTATTTTTAAACAAAATGCAATGTTCGCATTGATGTTTTCTTTGACGAAATTTTTGTAATTACACTTATGACGCTTCTCTGGATAACAGTACTTATGTTGTCGAGTTGATAAATTATAAAAACGCAAAAATTATATTGACTCGTGTTCCTTGTCTCGTACAAAGCGATATCTTTATTAAGTTTGATTATTTTTATCAATTTAATTTTCACTTTGAACGGAAACGCTTGATCTAACTTGTTCAATTTACTTGGCCATTTGACTTTACTGAATTTACTCAATATGCAGGTTGGGAATTGACGCCACTTAAGTACAACAGTAAATTGATGAACAGCATTTGGGGCCTGTACAATCGCTATTCGGTGCACAACTTTAAGAAGAACACCGACGCCGAGAAGGGGGCCCGCGGTGGGGTGGCCGCGGCGATCTGGGGTGCCATTTTGGAGAACCAGCCCCCGGCCGCCAACGCCGCCGCCGCCACCGCCACCGCGGAAGCCCCCCAGATTATGAGGGCCGGAAATCGCCTCTAGACGCGGCCACGTGACTTCGAAAATCTACTCAGAGATGGTAAAGTTGGGGATGAGCGCGAATTATACGTATAATTATTATAATTTGTATAAAATGGGATAATATACTAGTACGCGTGTACAGCGAAAATTACGTGTGTACGAAAGACCAGTTTACATGTATACAGATTTTATAATTATATTTAGTTATGTATTATATATATATTGTGATGAAATTAATAAATAAACTTGAGATGTCACATATCAATACATATATATGTATAATATTATACTACTATAATTGCTAAATATAAAAATTTGCTGACAATCTATGTTAGATTGTATAGCAGGTATATTAAAGTTCGATTTTTTACCGTTAAATAACATGCTTTATGTCTACTAGCGTTTTAGTATAATTAAATGTGTCAGATTTTGTACCACCACTTGTACCCTTTTTGCCAATAAAAATAGCAGACTGTTCTCGATATTCACTAGAAAATTCTTCAAACATTCCTTTATACATACAAGATTGCACCGTTTATATCGGATAATCAATACGATTGTATTCTGACAAATTATAATATACTTATATTATAATTTACTTTACAATGTATACAATATTATAAAAGAAATAATTACATCATAAAGTTGAAAATATAATAGCTGTACAATGTTTCTCTCGACGTTACATATGAAATATTTGGTATGCATACAATGACATGAAATTCTTGCAATGTAAAATATATACATATTGCATTCGGGATAAAAAATACCCCGAATGCATTTATTAACAATCTCTTAAAAATAAATCAAATCTACAAAAATTTTAAGTAAATTTAAAGTAAAAACTTAAACGCAACAACTTCCATCTTATTATATGTATGCATCCCATTGCAAATTCAATATTTTTTCTAATTTCTACAACTAATGTAAACTGAAAATAAATCCAACAAAATTACAATGTAACGTTTCTAATAATTATTATAGTGTCATTTAATACATTTTATTAAAAATTTTATTTTATTAAAATATTTAATAAAAATATTTTATTAAAAATATATTTATTAAAAATATATTAACATATAGAGCTTTTTATTAAAAGTATTTTATTAAAAATAGTGGTAAATATAATTATATTTAATAATATTACGTTGCAGTTATAATTTTATCTATATCCTTTTAATTATCGAGTTATAATGTTATATCCCCCTGTGCCTGCCTAACCGAGTCCCTACTTATCCGTATTTCACCGTATAGTCCTATCCTTTTTCCTACCTACCCGCGTTTCAACTTTTTATTAATAAGCCTAACGTACAAGTCATTCATTAAAACCGCGACGCGTTTTATAAGAGGTCGGATTTGGGATTATACGCGCGCGATTGGGATTTAATTAGTGTTTTTAAATCTCGCACATATGCGAGAATATGTAAAGAAGATAAGAATATAACCCACCCGAATTTGGACAAATAAAAAGAAATTAAGTTATTTCGTAAATCACCTTCCTTACATACTCCATCGAAGTGGTCAATACTGACCGCTTACTTCGTCGCATTTAGTCTCCCTTCGTTGGGCCAGATTGGACATACCTTTCGTTGCTCCCGGCCATACAGTCTGGTCATTTTGACCAGAGATCAAGAAGGACGAAAACTCCTTCGATAGTCGGTTTATTATCGTCACCGACAGATATTTCGTACGGTTCGAACTATATGCGAGCGTCGATCATATCGAAATGCACGACCACGAGAAGTTACTTAAAGAAGGAAATTAAGTAAAAAAATTTGCTGTATAAAACTCATCAAGTATATTTTTACTTCCGTCTTATTTGTTCAAGAATAGATAATGACTGTCTCTTCGTGACTGAATCTTTAAATTCGAAATTCAAATATATGTATATTTTGTAGAAAAAGACAATTTACTTGATATTTATTTTAATTAAATTTCGCGATAAATTAAAATTTATAATATGAATGAAATTAAACAATTAATAATTTTTGGAAAATTGTTTTAAAAACTGATCGCGAAGACCGACCGCGAAAATACGAAGATGCGTGTAACTATGCACATATTCATGCGAGACGCATCTTGAAAGTGTATGGCGAGATACACATACAGAATAAGTAAATGACGTGAGATCCAGAGAAAAGAAACTTTCCGTACGATAGATAGATGGACAATTGCGTATTCTAGTTCATCAATAACCTCGAAAAACGTATGAAAATAAGATAAAGATTCAGCGTTCTCGACAAAATATTAGAATCTCACGTCATATTATGTTACTTTATATATAAATTTGTTAACGAAAAATGGATAGACTACAAGAGATCAGCTCGACGAATATATCAATAACATTCGTCATATTTTGCGTGAAAATATGCGATGTGCAGCAATGGGCGCCCAACCCTCTACAGTGAAATATGTTAAAATAAATAAATATGAAATTATTTTGTAAATCTATCCATTTTAAGGCAACGGATCTACGAGATTTAGATTCGTTGCCTTAATAAAAAATTTTCTAACTCACCGATCTGATGCGCAGCAGCGGAGTTTGTACGTTGGTTCTGTAACAGATATAAAATTCCTATTAAAGCACTGTTCAAAAAAAAACTTAGTATTACAAAATATAATTCGTATACATATCAAACTTTTTCGGTTAGATGTTTAAATGATTGTCGCGCGAAAGATCTTCCGCAAAAGATCTTCACGAGAATAAACTTTGATAAAATTTTTAATGATTTCTTCTTCTTTTATTATCTCGAAATTATAGAATTATACAATAAACCGACTCAACAATAAACCGGGGAGAAGATTGCTTTTA